TGGAGTGTCATCATTTATCGATGGATTTGACTGCAATGCTCCACCACACATGCAAACCGGTTTGCATCGCATCGTGTCGCTTCAGTTTCGTTACGGCGGTTAATTAGTTTTTGCGGCCTGGAAAAGCCCAGCGATGCGTTTGCCAGTGATTGACTTGGTTGGTCATGTGATGTCCCGTTCCGTTGCCACAGTTCCACCGCAATCACAGTTGCAATTATGCCGGGGTCATTAGGCTTAAGGCGGGGTCAGCCAGTGGCAGGTGGCAGCCTGATTGGGAGGCTTGGGTGGAGCCTTTGAGGCATTTAATGCCCTGGCAATGCACTGCGGTGGATTTATAATTAACTCTAAGTCCCCTCTACCGTAATGCTTTTCTGAATTTGAAATCATGGGAATTTTGCTCCAATGGTCTTACACCCCCTCATTATGGGTCACTTAATTACACATAAATTGAACGGAGCGAACTAATTCAATTTTCTATTTGTTCGTATTTGAAAATAACAAATATTTGTTGTATAAATATGCAGGTTGAAATATTAATAACAATTATTATAGATTAGCTGTAAAATCGAGAACATTCGACTACAGCTTTCGAGCTTAATTTATATTGAATTATTCATTTACTAGCAATGATGGAATTATTTATTTACGTGCTTTAATTATTAAAGGCTTAATATGATAATCTCGCCTAGAATCCTTTGTAAGATTAATAATATTGGACAACTGGTTGAATATATGTAATATGTTGTGGGTTCCCATTTCACATTCACCCCCACAAGGCTTTGCTTGCTCCACTGAAACACATTGCACATTCCCATTTGAATATGCTTTAACCATTACCCTTATCCGCATCAGTATTAAGTGCCATCCATCATCACCACAATTCAGACCAAAAAAATCTTTGTGTGTATCCTTATATGTGTTTTGCTTTCTGTTTCGTCTTCCCAACAACACACGAACCCCCAAACACCCAACAAATCCCCAAACATCACGAAAAAAAATACTGAAACATCGGAAAATAGAGCTCTGAGGCGACTGAGACAACCACGGAGCAGCAGGCGGCAGTTACCGAGCCACCGATCAAGCTGGTCCATGTCCTCAATCCTGGCGAGCGGGAGTATCTGTCGCCCAATCTTATTGGGGTTCAGAACATCGCCATGACCTTTCTGCCCCTCTCGATGAACTTTGTGAACATAATTGACGCCTTTCGGGAGATCACCAGTGGTGTGCGCTACGAGATCCTGCTTAATGCAGAGAACACGAAAGTGAAGCCGCCCGCAGAAGTGGATACCATCTGCCGGCTGGTCATCCTGGAGAAACCCTGGCTGCGCACCCAATGGGGTGACAAGCACCGCGAACTGGTCACCTCCAACTGCACTGATTCTGCGGAGAATTCGGTCAGTGGTGATCCGGAGGAGAAGGCACGTCTGCTCAACGAGAAATATGTGAGTAACAGCATTTTCAATGGCGGTCAACGAAACGAGCTGACCGATGCGGAAATGGCCAATCTGGAATCCCAGATTCTGACTAACCTGGGACCCACTAAACGGAAGGTCAGCCTGACTAAATCCGCTCCTGCTGTTCCTTCTGCTGCTCCTGCTCCTGCTTCTCCTCCCGCTGATTCCGAAGCTCCTATATCAACGTCCATAACAGTCACCAAGTGGACTCCCCCAGCACCTGAATCGACTAATGAGGCTACCACGGCATTAAGCATTGATGAGGCGGAAAAAAAGGTGGAGATGGCAGAGGCTGAGAAAAAGCCTGAAGTAGTAGAAGAGGAGGGTGTAACCACCACTACAATTGCCACAGAGCTCAATGATAATGAGAAACGTTGGCTCGATGATTTCCTATCGGTGAGTGCGTATAATTTCGAAATGAACCATCAGGGGCGGAAGGAGATTCTGCAGGACGAGGAGGAGCAGGAGCAGAAGGAGGAAGAGCAGCGGCAGCAGCAGGAGGAGACCACTCCGGAGGAAAAGGACCCTGAGGTGGAGGCTACTACTACTTCTACTACTATACCAACAGCATCGTCATGAATATCCTTATTATCATCCTCATCCCACACACACATACCGATACCCACACCCATCCTTATCCACCGTTGACTCTGTCTTACACACACATAAATACTCTTTATACATACTCTCCTAAATGCGAACAATAAAAAAGGAAAATGTTATTTAATTGAATTTATTTAAGCTTGCCTTTTCACCTGCTGCTCTGCTGCTGCTGATGATGACGACCATGAGGATGGTGTGGGGTTTGATGGAGCAGATAGGGCTGGGGGGGATTCCTCGTTATGGCGCCCCGCCAAACACTTATTTCACCTTAATAATCAAATGAGTTTCCGCTCTCAAATTACGGCCGCAATCTGTTTAACCCGGCCGTAACTTAGGCCGAGCACGGACCCACCTGAGGAGGGGCCATCTGCACCTGTCTATATGTCTTGAGGGGCTGCCTTTCCGCAGTGTTAAGTGTATGTGTGAGAGGTTAAGTGGGTGGGCGGGTGTTTCTTTGGGTGAATGTGGTGTGGTGTCGACAGAGCACAGCGGCAGCAGCACACAAAGTGCGAACGAAGTGTTCTCATTATCCTTGTGCTCTACTTTTTACAGCGGTTGACTCTGGTGGGTTGACTCACACACAGTGGGTCCAAAATGATTTGTCATTGGGGTGGGACTTTCCTTCCACTTGAGTTGCCCCACTGAACTTAAGGGGTTAAATAAATAAATATATAATAAAGTACAGATTCTGCAACTTTAATGGCCTGGCTGGGAGACTACTTAAGAGCATTCTGTCTATGCATGCTGGACAATCTATTTAAATTAGTTTATAGTTTATAATGAATTGAAACTTTTATCATTTATCATAAAAAACTTAATTCTAAAGTCTCTCTGGGATCATGTTGAGTTTGTTTATATAATTGCAATTGAAAACAATGCTAATTTAGTATCGTATATTGTATGGTAAATTCCTTGGAAATCATTATGATAAGCTTAATATTTTATTATAGGAGCGACTGTTTTTCTAAATCAAGTTCCAATGAAGTAACCTAATTGATACCTAATTCCAACATGAAAAATAATATTCTTGTTTATTTCAGCATTTCACAATCTAATTCCGACTTGTTCAACTTTATAGAAATATCTGTCCTAACGCTTCCGATCCATATGATTCTGCTAATGAGCCACTCGAAAAATCATTGCAAAAATCATAGAATAAATTAATTAAGTTCTTTGAAAATGAGAGCCATTCAGATGCATTGCTGATTTACGCCAACTGTCAGCATTCAGCGAGTTCGCGTTCAGCACTTAACTGTCAATATATCCGAATGGATTTCACGGACCATTGCGCACCACACACACACACACACCCACTCGCATACACACACCACACCTCAGTACACCTCATACACATTAAGCGCGTCCACCTTGGCATCAGTACCACTGTGCCCCAGGGTCGTTGAAACATCATTTACGTTATAATTCTTATTGAAATACACATTTGAATTAACAGCTCTCGGTTGGGTATTGTGGGATTGGATGGATGCAGAGTCAGAGTGCGGCCAGGATGCGGAAAATGGATGTCGGGGGAGAGGCAGCTGGCTTAATGAATTCATGTTTGGACACAGGCTGCACACACATCGAAGAGGATGGCCTGGGAATCGCATCGGAGCCTGGCTCGCTTGCTCTTTCGTTGTATTTTTTTGCCCCTGCTTTTTTTGTTTTTGTTCCTGTACTTTTAATTATACACACGTCGTAACCATTACATTTCATTCGGTATTGTTGTCGCCATCTAGATGACCTGCACTCAAAAATTTGTTTGGCCACGGCATTTCCTGATGGACTTAAGCCGCTTTCCCTCACAAAATACAATAAACATTTGTAAATTATATTTGAAAATGATAAATCAATTGATGAAGATATATTTCAGGTTTATAAAATTGTAATAGTGCAGCTGAAACTAAAAATATTCTGTCCTTCAATGCTAAAATAGATTTTAAATCGATTGTCATTGATATTTTTCCCCCTCTAGTTTCTGTTATTGCATCTGAAAGACTATTTCAGGAGCCTCTTTTAACTATTACTATTTTGATTTCTAAAATTGGTACCGTAAGAGAGAAGAATACACACAGAAAACCAAAATTATTGCCACATTCTGGGGTAAATTTAACCAAATTGATTTGTTGCCTTTGTGGGCCATAAAATATTTTGAGTGTGACTCCACCTGCAGTCCGCATTTCGCAACCACTCTGCTGTCAGCCTTGCGACATCGTCAGCCTGCGCAGACATTTGACATTGCCCGGGTCCCCGTGTCGGGGGGTCCGGATGCGGCTCCAAAGAACCCAAGTTTCACCAATGGCATCAACATATCGCCCATCATCGATGCCAGCCGGCAAACGAATTTCAAGACAAAATGTTTGGTTTAATTGGTTTTGTGTTCGGCATTGAATGGGTTTATGGGTCGCATGTGACTGCTGGTGCTATTTGTTGGCCCACTCCTATGCCTCAACTGCCAGGAGGCTGCCTTTTGGGGGTTTTATGCCATTTTCCTTGCCGCAACTCTTCCAGCCACCTTTCCTCTTACATTCCGGTATGTGTCGTTCCGTCAATTTTGGTAATGTAAATTCAGACCTGTCCTTGTTTCATTTGCATTCGAATTCGCCTGAACTTTATGTGTGACTTTTGTAGCATCCAATCATATCACTACACTTTCTGGTGACATCTGGTGTGCCTGTCTGTTTGTAATGGATGAGTATGAGTATATTCGTCTTTAATAATTAGCACAAGATTTCAGAAGTCGTTAATAGCAGGCAAGAGGTCTATCTTAATAAAACAAACGAAATCTATACAACTTATAATATTTGATAATTATTTGCTTATAACAAGGTAAATTATGCAATTCAGCCATTAGACAATCAAAAGAGCTTTTTCAAATGGGGGATTTGTATCCGGCAAGCACTTATGAAAATTAGAAAATATTTTATTTCCTTTCTCATCTTCCAGGTCCTTCGTAGCAGACGCAGCCTGAATGACATACCCTTGGGTGGACCTAAGCCATACGATGAAGAGGCGGCAAAGGCACAGCTACAGGGCTCACTGAACAAACTGACTGAAGGCGAGGGTCCGCACTACCAGTAAGAAATATAATCACCTATTTTACCAAAGTTTTTGAATAATTTAGATCATAAAATATATACTTTACAATATGTGTATTCAGTTCTGTATGCTATAGTTGTTGTATGAAATTTCGCTGATAAATGAATTTTTAAGACAGTTATTAATTAAAATTAAAACCAATTTAGCATAAAACATTTTTGTTCACACATTGCTTACCTACATATATTCCAGAATCGTGAAAGTTTACTCAGCTTCACGTCAAGTGGTGTCAGGCACCTTGACTCGCATTGACGCGGACCTAATCGATGGTTCTGGTGCGCAGCACCGCTGCATAGTGGAGATCTGGTCGCAAGTATGGACAAAAACTCCGATGCACGACATCACCTTCAAGTGCCGCAACCAGCCTGTGGTCCAGGCCCGTCACAGTCGATCCGTCGAATGGGCCGAGAAGAAGACTCACAAGAAGCATAGCCATCGGGCGTTGGACAAGGTGGAGCATCTGTTCCACAAGTTCCAGGTACGATTTGGCCGACGTTACGTGAGCACTGCCGAGCGCCAGATGCGATTGCGCATCTTCCGCCAGAACCTGAAGACGATTGAGGAACTCAACGCCAACGAAATGGGCAGTGCCAAGTACGGCATCACGGAGTTCGCGGACATGACTAGCTCGGAGTACAAGGAGCGCACTGGATTGTGGCAGCGGGATGCGGCGAAGGCCACCGGCGGAGCGCAGGCTGCAGTACCTGCCTATTCCGGCGAACTGCCCAAGGAGTTCGATTGGCGTAAAAAAAACGCCGTCACCCAAGTTAAGAATCAGGGATCCTGCGGCTCTTGCTGGGCCTTCAGTGTGACGGGCAACATCGAGGGTCTGTACGCCCTGAAATACGGCGAACTTAAGGAATTCTCTGAGCAGGAGCTCCTTGACTGTGATACCACCGATAGTGCCTGCAACGGGGGTCTTATGGATAATGCCTACAAGTAAGTATAACAGAGTTGAGTTTCCGTTTCTGGTTATAGAATAAATATCGATTTTCTGCCCTCAGAGCCATCAAGGATATTGGCGGACTGGAGTACGAGGCGGAGTATCCCTACAAAGCCAAGAAAAATCAATGCCACTTCAACAAGACTATGTCCCATGTCCAGGTCTCCGGCTTTGTGGACTTACCAGCGGGCAACGAAACCGCCATGCAAGAGTGGCTGGTAGCCAACGGACCCATCTCGATTGGTAAGTAGATTTAGGTGGATTTACCTTCTAGAATTCAAGGATAATTATTATCGCTTTACAGGTCTTAATGCCAATGCAATGCAGTTCTATCGCGGAGGCGTCTCTCACCCGTGGAAGGCTCTGTGCTCCAAGAAGAACCTGGACCACGGTGTCCTGGTTGTTGGCTATGGCGTCTCCGACTATCCCAACTTCCACAAGACCCTCCCCTATTGGATCGTCAAGAACTCGTGGGGTCCGCGCTGGGGAGAACAGGGCTATTATCGCGTTTACCGCGGTGACAACACTTGTGGCGTCGCCGAGATGGCCACATCGGCTGTGCTCGCTTAGACTTGATTTGACACCATCTTATATATATATACACACACTTACGACTATATCTAGGTTAATATTTGAGTAACCAGTAACTTTGTGTACAATCTCCCTTTCAAGGTTCTATAAACGACGCAACGAGAAAATCGTTAAGTTTCAATGCTTCGCATAAACAGTATAATCATTTTGGACATCTGTAATCTCACACAATAAATCTGCATCCCTCATAATCCGCTAATAAATTGAATAAAATAAATTGTACAAGAATAATAACTGAATCGTATATTTAACTTGTGTTTCTATCGCTGTATAGACCAAGCAAAGCAAGTACTGCCATAAAACAATGGAAAGAAAATAGGTTAAATTGCAGAAAAATTCTCATTGCATTTATATTTTTGTTAATATTTGATTTCTTCGATTGATATATATACATTCCTAGCTAGCATTTTTTCCCCGGTATTATCTATCCATAAATTATGCTCACATTCCCTTTTCTTCTCCGCTAAATGAACATATATTGCCATGTTTGCATTCAATCACAATGCACAAAACTGCAATATGCTAATTAGATTTAGACCAGGGACGTCGCCCTATTGGAAGCCAAACAACGTATGGTTGGTTTCTGGTGCGGAACAAGCAAAGCTCAGTAGCAGCTTGTATCGCTTCGGGGACGGTGAGCAGAGCAATGGCTATGGACGACTACGATGATGACAGTAAGTAGGACTCCCAGGGCCGAAGGATTAGCTGCAACAACTCCATATCGAATCACCATATACTAGTGAGCAGCGTGGGAGTGACCACGGCACGGATCGAAAACCAACACCACCAACAGGGTCAGCATGGACAGCAACACCACCAGGGTCATGGTGGCCAGAGCCAGTACAGCGCCGGAGCGGTCAAGGTGGGCGGATGGCGGTACGAGGACGCCAGTCGCTACATCGGCGAATGGAATCAGCGGGGCCAGAAGCATGGCATTGGACATTTGCAGTTCGCCGATGGCACCCGCTACGATGGCCAGTTCCAGGAGGGTCTCAGCCAGGGAGTGGGCTGCCTCTGGTTCCCGGATGGAGCAAAGTCAGTGCCAACTAGAAAAACGGGAATGCATTCCTCTATTATTTAATCCATGTCTATGGCTATATAATCGACTGTCTATTGATGCAGATATGAAGGCGAATTCCATCAGGGCTGGTTTCATGGCAATGGAATCTTTTGGCGCGCCGATGGAATGAAATACGAGGGTGAGTTCCGCGGTGGAAAGATCTGGGGCCTGGGCTTGCTGACGTTCCAGGACTTTACGCACGGATTTCCTAGAAACGAAGGCTTCTTCCAAGACTGCCGCTTTATGAGAAGACGACGCTGTCCTGAGGTTGTCCAGCGAGCCCAAAAATGTGCCCTGATGGCCCGTTCCCAATGCGATCACCCTTACTGAAAGAATACACTCACATTCACGGATAATATGGATAAATAAAGAAAATAATAAACAAGGAAGAAATCCAAATACGGGTAGTCAAAGTTTGTATGTATACTTTTGCCTTTTTAAACTGGATTAGGAAATTTGAATTTGAAATCGATCATAACTAAGCCAAAAATGGGTTAATTTCAATTCGGAAGCTGTTCTTTGCTGCTATTTAATAGGTTAATAAATCGTCATACTCAGTTTAAAATTTAAAATACTTAAAATTTTGATACATTTTTGACATTTTTAACGATGTAACCCCTTATAAAGTTTTGAAAAAGTCGGTAAAAAATTATTTTCTCGCGGACTTGTTTAGATCGACTCGGCTTGTAATGCTGATCAATAATATATATAAGATCAGAAATGATTTGCAAGCTTCCGAATTAAATTATTATACCCCGCAAGGGTGTAAAGAACTTCTAAACAAATATCCCAACAATAATTAAATAAAAGAAAAACAAAAAATTGTGCTTCATATATCAGGAATATATGGTTAAGTAATGAGTTACAAAATATTAAAGATTATTCAAAGGTTTATTTTGGTAGACCCTTGAATTTGCGCGTTCGCTTATCGACTTTAAAATAATAACAAAAATTTGTTTGTTCAGTGACTAATTCCCGCTAGCTGCCCCGACCATGTACCATGCATTCCTGGCCTTCACCGCCGTATTTCGCACCAGACGCTTGGGATCATCCAAGGCGGCGGCCAGGGCCAGTGTTACATCCACTTTGTGGGGCAGCAGTACGAAGGTGGGGTATTTGGTAATGTCGTAGAGCAACTCCAGCGCCGCAATGCGAACTTGCTGTAAGGATTTCGAATTAAATTAAGTCTATACTTTTGTAAAACCACTTACCATTGTGTGTTGCGCCTTGTACTTGGACAGCTCCAAACAGCTGGGTATGAGATGGGCCAAGTGCCCCTGGAAGTACGGGTCCTGATTCTGCACAAACCTCTCGCAAATGCCAAGGGCAATGCAAAGCGACTGCGCCTCGTTGTGCTCCTCTAGACTTTTAAAGAGCAACGGGCCCAGTTGCTCGATATTCAGCTTAATTACCGCCTGCGGCGTGGCCTTCAGCACATAAACGAAGGCCTTCAGGTGGTGGACACAGTAGTTCGCCAGCTTGCTGCCCATCTTGCCCATGATGGTGTGGAAGAGCTTCTGCTTGTATAGGAACTTGACCACGGGCAGATCCAGTTCTGGATACTCGGCAGCAATAATGTCAAATCCCAAGGCGGCCGCCGTGCTTAAGCTGGGATGCTTCAACAAATCTGATAGCTAAAAGTAAAGTAATATGTATTGCTTTTCAAAGGATTATGAAAGTTTAAGTATTACTTACATCACCCACAATGTCGGCCGCTTCATCGAATCCAGCCACCACTAGTCCCTTTGCCACCCACGCCAGAATCTCCACCGCGCGCACATCACCTTTTTTAATGGCCACCTTTAGCTCGTCCGTGATCTTTTTGACCTTGCCCCTATTGGCCGGATTGCTCTCCATTTTATTGACTAAGCTGCATAGCAAATGGTGAGCGATCACGCGCAGCTGCTCATTATCAGTGTTGAGCGAGAGCTGTGTCAGATCGCTCAGCAGCCGTTCAAAGTGATCATCTAGGCTGATGTCCTTGTGAAGATAACCGAGAAGGCCCTTGGTAATGTACAGATCAGCGGATAGGTTCAGCTTCAGTCCCGGTAAGTACTCGCTAACGATGGCGCTCTGTTCGGAGAGGGGCAGTTGTTGGGTAATGCGACTTAGGGCGCCTGCAATTTGCTCAAGTGACTGAAGAGACAGGTTCTCGGTGTTCTGGCCCAGTTCTATGAGCTTGTGTAGCAAATTTGATTCCTGCTGCAGATCCACGATAAAGCGCTGGTCCTCCTGGGTAAGAACTTGGTTAAGCGCTTCCAGGGCTAGGAGACGCACTGGATCCGACGTTGCCTCCTTAAACGACTGCGTCATAATCAGATCCAAAATGCGCTGAGTAAATGCCATTTGAGGTAAGAGAGGCAACAAGTTGGTGTAAATCTTCCGCTTGACAAAATTGGAGAAAATCTCGAAGTTGCGCACGGAGACGTCGATGAAGTTTGACTGCAATTCCACGGGCTGCAGAGCACCCAAGCTGGCTGTGAGTATGGTAAAATCCAGATCGATGGACGGATGACTGACCAGCTGAACCAGGACTTTGTAAACCAAGGCGCGCTGCTGCTCGCTGAGAATCGGGGCGCTCTCGTTGAGCACTGAAATCGCTGCCTTTTGAAGCTCCAGATTTTCCAACTTTGCATCGAAATCCTCCCTTTCAATCAGCCGCAACGAAGCAATCACATCGTCCTGCAGAGCTTCACGAATAGTAACATCCAACTTCTGTAGCGAGTCCCTCAGTCCACATAGCTTATAGACCTGGCTAATTATGCCATAAATCTTGACCCGCTGCTCGGAGGTCACATCTCCGGCCTGTTGCAGCTTAAGCAGAAAGCTATTGAGAATCTTATCCGCTGCATATGGTGCATCCCCAGCGACACAAACCAAGGCTATACCGGTGGCAGGATGGAAAAGGCGCTGATTGACGTCGCTCAGATGGGGCAAAATCACACCCAGGATGGAACTTTGATAGCTGTGGCTGATATCGGGCAAATGAGAAGCGCGCTCTAGAAGTGCGGACAACGCTTTCAGAGATGCCTTCAGGATCTCCTCGTTGTCGTTGCCGGGAAAAGTCTCCGCTTTCAACGCCTGCCAGATCTGGTCGAAGTGCGGCTCCAAAACGGATGGGGGAAATTTCACAGCAGCTTGGTGCTATATAAAAAGAAACATCAGTTATTTTAGGATCTGATTTATGTGATCAAAACGTTCTTGCCAGCAACATTATGGAGTCCAGTTTGGCCACCAGCAGTTCGCTCTCCAACTTCTCCACAGCCAGCACCACCGTTGCCTCGGCGAACTCATTGTTCGCCACCAGGCAATTGGTCAGCTTAGTAGCCAATTCATCTCGCGTTAAAGCTGACGGATCCTGTTTGCTGGGGTTGAAGTCGATGGGAAAGTAGCAGGCGAAGATCTCAAACATCTCCTCGGCCAAATGCAGCAATGGATACGTGGAGAGGAACTCCGGCATGAAGCTGAATATGATGTCCAGGTTCCGAGGGTCTCGCTCACCGTCAATGGAGTTGATTAGGCCATAGACAAAGTCACCGGTCATCGACAACAGTTCTGTTAAAAAGAGATTGATTTATGAGCCTTCTACAGAGTTTAGTGGCTTTTCAATTAACAAAGCAAGCTCACCCGTTTTGAAGTTAAGCGTCAGGTACTTGAAAATATTAAACAGCTTGGAGCGGTCGCCACGCGTCTGCGACTGGCAGGTGGTGTGCTCGAAAAATGCCTGTAGAATCAGGGGAACATAAGAAGGCGGCAGAGCCTTCATGTGAACCAAAGCATCAATACCGTCGATAATGGCCGGCATCACGTTGTGGTGATCGCGCAGCCGGTCCATATAGAAGGTGCTGAGAAACTCCAGCTGCCGCGCCTCGAGCAGGTCCTCCGGGAGGGCGACAAGCACAGCGGAGAGCATATTTGTGCCTGCCACCCGCTGTTCCATGTCCGGCGAGGACAGGGCGAAGCCCAGTTCCTCGACCAGCACCGATATGTCGTACACCTTGGCCGTCAGGTCTGGAGAAAACAATGGTAGGGTTAGCAAGCGAGAATTGTTATGATGCGGGCGACTGAAACTTGCCCTTGGCTATCTGGATGGAACCCTTTAGGAGTTTCTCGTCGCTCTTCAGAGCCTTCTCGAGGGTGGCACGCGTGGGCGTTGTCATTTCGGTAACCGTCGCTGGCGTGTTGTCTAAATTTAATAAATGTTTTAATGCACGTTAAGCCGAAATTTTAAGATGACTGGCCGTGCGGCCTTATCTATAGGTTGGAGTTGCCAGATCGGCCACACAGTGGTCTTTGTTTTCTATTAATTCGACCGAAGCTGTGCTGCCAGCTTGGTTGGTTTTTATAAAAACAAGATATGCTTAAATTTAGGCAATTCAAACGTATTTAATTGTTTGATATCATTATTTACAAAATAGGTATAAGAAATAGATTTCTAATCAAATATATCGGCAATGCTATTGTGACACAGTGGAAAATCATATTCTACACTATTGCCTGTTTTAAGCGATAGTTTAAAGCTGTGTATCGATTAACGCACGACGCTCCCATCACCTGCCCACGTACATCACTATTATTACAAACAGCAGCAGCAGTTTTTTTTAGCTTGCGCAGCGCCTAAAACTTTAAACTAAATAAGTTTCGCATTAACTTTGAGCTTGGAACGCCGCGTAACAAAGCTAGTACACTAATGTCCATAACCGTAAGTGGATCGCCGGGATATGTGCGAGTTTTTCGCAGCAGCGCTAGCTGCAACAAATGACTGCGTTGTTGTTGTCGTTCTGCTGCAGACGCCCCCACGTAGCTCCAAATACAATAAAATGAGAATGGTTAAAAAGTGAAGCTTCCGAAAACTTGCAGATAACTCGAAATGTATTTAAATCGCAATATTATTCCCCCAGTGTTTGCGTGTGTTTTGTGCCGCTGAAACCTGAGCTCCACATGTGTGTGTGTGTTTGCGTGAGTGTGTGCAAGCGGTAATTTTGTTCGTCTTTTTTCTTTTTATTTTTTTTGCATACGACGATTCGAGTTGAAAGAATTGTTGAGAGCCAACAAGGTCAGGCGAGCGCCTTATATGGACGACAGCTTGTCTGTGAGCTTCCAATGCGGGCTCATAATAATTTTATTACATTTTCCAATCGGCATTTTGGCCCACGGCCCGCGCCTTGGATGTGATGTGGGAAATGGGAACTCGTTGCGTCTAAAGTTGGTGTGTGTGCTTTATAATTAGCACCGCACATCGGTCGTTGCCACTGCTATCTTCTATTATTTGCAATTGTCGCCTTATTTTCCGCTTTTATTGCTACGGCGAGGCTCACTTTCCATTTTTACCTGCAAGGCGCACTCTCTTTCCGAGAGAGTGCCTTGTGTGAGTGAGTGACGCAGTCGCTTCCGTTCTATTGTTCCCGTCCCACTTGCCGCACACACACACTCACACTAAGTGACAAACGAACAGAGAAACTTACGCACTTCGAACGCTTAAATTGGATCTAATCTTTGTTTCGTTTTTGGTTACAATCACAACAACCTGTTCCGATCTGCGATCTGCGTTCTCCGATCTACGATCCGATTCTTCTCATCGATCAGTTACTGCGAGGTGGCAAGCAAAAGACAACCACTTGCGTAGGAATGACCGTAATGGCCAAGACTACGATCGAAGAAATATGCGAGAATGCCAAATTAGCGAGGGACATGGCTCTGACGGGCAACTACGACTCCGCATGCATCTACTATGAGGGTCTCCAGGGACTGCTTGCCCGCCAGCTCAAGGCCACCGCGGATCCTCTGCGCAAGGGCAAGTGGAACATGGTAAGAGAATCCCCCTATTTTCCCATCCTTCAACTCTCGTATTATCTCATGTATGTGTCCTCTCCAGATCAACCAGCAAATCAGTCAAGAACACGCCAAAATCAAGGCCATCCAGCGAACTCTGCAGGACATCTCACTCGATCTGCAGACCACCAAGTTCGCCCACAAGCTGCGACACCAGCTCAGTGAGGAGAGCACCACCAGCAAAGATCCCTCCTCTTGGTTTAAGCCAGACCCCGATATATGGACGCCACCGCCCAAAGATCCCGATGTGTGGGGTCCACCGAAACCACCAGCACCCGCCCCCACCACACAGGCCGTGGGTCGACGAGCAGCACCGAACAATCGACGCACCACCACGGCAGCGCAGAGCAGCCGACCCAGCAGCACAATCCCACAGAGCACGTCCCGCAATGGTGTCTCCGCGGGCCGGAACTCACGCCACTCAACGGCAACAGGAACAGCACCGACCAGTGGAGCACGCTCGATTAACGGACGGGCTGGCGGACGCAAGCTATCCACATCGAACAACAACAACAACAACGAAGCGAAGGACGAAGAAGCCACCGCTGCCGGCAGTAATGGTGGTGGTGCCGGCGGCGAGGGAGAGAACGGTGATCAGCAAGCCGGAGGCCAGGAAGAAGAGCGCAAGTTCCAGCCCAACAACCATATTGAAGCTGAGCTGGTCGACATTCTAGGTAAGTGTTCAAGATAATTTAGATTTTAGAAATTTGGAAATCCATATAAACAAGAGGCTTCCATCATTTATTATTAAATTTGTAAATCGTAATTATATTAAATATTCTGATTATTGTTTCCAGAACGTGATATTTTACAAAAGGATCCCAAAGTAAGATGGAGCGACATTGCCGATCTCCATGACGCTAAGCGGTTACTGGAGGAGGCCGTTGTGCTGCCCATGCTCATGCCGGACTACTTTAAGGTGAGTGAGTTGCCGTCACATTCGTTGGCGTGAATCACGCATGTATCATAGGGCTTATCTACGCTTAGTGTTGGGTCAACAAACGATCTGTTTGCTCACGCCTACGGCTATATATAATAACAATCAACTGTTTGACTAACCCAACAAAATGCAATAATTAAAAAGTTTATAAAACTTGTTGATGTTTTTAATAACTGGTATATTTCATTAAACTATATATTATTTTGATCAATCATTCAATTTTATTGATATAACAATCGGCAACTATATCATGCTTAATAGATATTCAAAAAGTTCTTACAAAATGTTAAATTTATTTCTGCTCTGAATACTCAGAAAGTTTTTTGATTATGAATCCATTTCTATGTTAGCTTTATCTTATCTTTCAGTCTTAGCATTTTCTACTGCGATCTATAATAAACTGTCACAAACATATTTATGTATACAACCATGTATATTTGAGTTGATTGATTATGCTTCTTGTCACAGACTAATTAAATATGTTTTGTTCATAAATTATTAAATAAAATAATAATATTAAAGCATGGTTTGTAATGGTTTAACTCAGTAATCGTTTCTTAACTGTGCTGCTGCTGTTGTGACTTTCTCAGCTGAGAGTTGAGCCGAGTTACATTAACTACAAACTAATTAATTAATTGATCAACTAAATTAAAAGCTCATCAAAATAACTTTCTTTTTTAAACATCTTGATGAAAACAGGGCATCCGGCGACCTTGGAAAGGTGTTCTAATGGTGGGTCCTCCTGGAACCGGCAAAACCATGCTTGCCAAGGCGGTGGCCACCGAATGCGGTACGACCTTTTTCAACGTAAGCTCCGCCACACTGACCTCCAAATACCGCGGTGAATCGGAAAAAATGGTGCGACTACTTTTCGAGATGGCTCGTTTCTATGCGCCCAGCACAATCTTCATTGACGAGATCGACTCGCTGTGCTCGCGCCGTGGATCGGAATCGGAGCACGAGGCCTCCCGCCGCGTCAAGTCAGAGCTATTGGTCCAGATGGACGGCGTAGGCGGTGGCGAGGAGCAGGCTAAAGTGGTAATGGTGCTGGCCGCCACCAACTTCCCCTGGGACATCGATGAAGCACTGCGGCGTCGATTAGAAAAGCGCATATATATCCCGCTGCCTTCGGACGAAGGACGCGAAGCGCTGCTGAAAATCAATCTACGCGAAGTAAAAGTAGATGAGAGCGTTGATCTCACCTATGTTGCTAACGAGCTGAAGGGCTATTCTGGAGCGGACATCACTAATGTGTGCAGGTGGGTGGTTAATCTTTTAGAAAGGAATCTAGTCATGAAGACTTAGTTTTAATCACTAATCAATAATGCTTAAATATTTCCTTTGTGTAGAGAGGCCAGCATGATGTCGATGCGGCGGAAGATCGCTGGACTCACGCCCGAGCAGATCCGACAACTGGCCACCGAGGAGGTGGACTTGCCCGTCTCCAACAAAGATTTCAACGAGGCCATGAGTCGCTGCAATAAGAGCGTGTCCCGGGCGGATCTTGATAAGTACGAGAAGTGGATGAAGGAGTTTGGCTCCTCATGATGCCACTGCGCCCGCAAGTCTGGCTAGCAATCGTAGGAATATATATTTTTGAATACCCTTAAATACGCGTTTAAGTCTCTAGGCTTTTAAAGTGGATACAGCAACCGATCTAAAATGGCCGGAAGAAGAGTTGAACATATTTTATATATAACATTTTGCATATACACACGGTACAATCTATATATTTACATATATAAATTGGGGCGCGGACGCCTTTGGAATAATAAAAGACTAACCGTTCTCTAAGAGGAAACACAAATGCGAAACTGAAATTGAATAGAAGTCGAGACACTCCACGAAGCACAATCCTTCCTTCCAACTAATCGTTAACCTATAGTTGCACCCTATAAGCAATAAGGAATCGCTTTAAATGCCGCCAAGCCTTGGCCATGGCCCCCACACACCCACGATACACACGCACTCCACATCAATTCATTTTATGCAAAAATGTATTTTTAACCAGCACTTTTCACTGTCTTATTATATTAATGTTAATTTTCGCTTAATTTATAGACACACATTATATATCATAGTTTAATGCAGGCAAACAGATGTAGGGCAACGCAAATGTTAATTTTTAAACAAGGCAGAATGTTCCATCCGATTTGCAATAAACCCATTGTCTTCAGTAGGGGAACCTGAAGCAATATGTACTTAAAGTGAAGATTCTGAAATTTTAAACAATAAACAAAGTTTTTAACTCAATTTTGGATTTTGATTTAATGGGTGCATTCTGTGGGATCCCTCTAACTGTATCTTCATTTTTGATTACAGGGATTATTAAAGTATGATTGCAACGACTTTTAATATATGAAGTGATTCATGTGTATGTATGTATATAAGTACATACATATGTATATATTTAAACTACTAGAATGTATGATGTTATAAATTCTTTTATGTGACCGAATTTGCTGTTTCATTATGAAAGAATCTTTTACTCTTAACTTCAGACTTGACAATAATCTTCCAAAATGGAAATTCCACACCGCTCACGAAAAACTAATACCTGGATTGGTAGGTTAAACTAAGAAAAATTATGACCCAAGTTATAAAAATTCTTTAAATTTATTATTACGAGAAAGCAAATACATGTAGCTAAATCGACTTGTCTGGTAGAAGGGTATAAAAATGGGAGATCCCGTATTATGAATCATTTTCATTAAGGTTTTAAGTGTATTACTTATTTAATTGGTATATTAATATTTTTTTTAAACGTTTATAAGTTAAGGTCTGAATAACAAGTATTATATGATTTGATTGGTCAATATTTGTGTAAACATTTATATTATTTTAAGTCTCAGATATGAAATCTTCCTGTCCTCAAGGTTAAATCAATAACACGCTGTGGTATTCAAATAAATGCGGGAATCCCCTAACATACATATATATGTATATTATGTGTTCCTTTCTGAATGCACCCATTGTTAATTACTCGCCTGCAGTAGGTCCGAACACCAGGGCAGTTACTACATCCTACATCTCAATAGGGTCTGGAGGGTGGCGGCATGGGCATTAGGGGACCCATCATGGGGTACGGAGCGGAGCCACCGGCAGAGGGATAAAATCCGCCAGAAGCCACGTTTCCGTAGGCTGGCAGTGACGCAGCTGACGGCGGACCCTGACGCTGCTTCCTCATGAGATCCTGCATTTTCTCGGCCTTCAGGCGGCGTAGATGCATTGTGCGACGGATGGCAAGGAACTCCTCCAGGAATGCTTCCACCCCGAGATCACTGTCGTTAAATTTCTTGACCATCTCCTCGGTCTGCTCCTCGCTCTCAGAGGCGGCAGTTTGCAGCAGTGCCAGCGTCGTATCGGGACCCACTCCGCCCGTTTTCTCCTTAAGCTGAGACAGCTTCTCCTGAACAGACGAGCACCTGGTGCGTCCCTCCTCCGAAATTTCGGCGAGACGGCCCCGGAGCTCGATGATCTGGGGTTCCTTTTCAATATTACGCTCTGCCCGACTCCGATTGTCCTCGAAAACGCTGGTCTTCTGCGTTCTAAGCACTTGCAGAACTTCGTCCACTTTCTCGTCCAGCTTGGTGTCGTCATTCAGCAGTTCCTTTAGCTCATCAGAGCTCATAGGCGCAATGGTAGCCTGCAGTTGGTTCAGGTATTCCTGATACATTTTCGTTTCGTGAATTTGCTCAACTTCGAACTATTTTAATTTTGCGACTTCAATTTCAATGACTATTATTTTTAGTAGAGATGGGAAAAACCTCAATGTACTATCGATTGCATCGACTACTTTTGTGTTATCAATCATCGATGAAAACTGTCATCTCTAGAATCTGTTTGAAAACCGTTCTCAAAATTATAAAACTTGTAAAGCTTAGATCTATGATTATTTTGTTAAAGTAAAATGTTTTATTAACTAATAATTTATTAATAAAATGGTACATAATATTTTAATTTTATATTATTTGTATTTACTTTACTAACCTACCCACCAACAGTAACTGTCCAGGAAGAATAAGATATTTCAGATAACTTCAATTTTGACACTTTTTTCAAATTGCGAAAGGAATGTGCTTGGCAATTACTTGATGAGAAGACTAAATGTCTGGTTGGGTGCGTATATCTGTAGTGGGTTGGCCGCATATATGGTCACAGGAAGATTCCACACCATCGTCTCTACCGGCATCTCGGATGGGGCCTTCAGCTCCCCGGATTCCGGGTTCGGTCTGCCAAAGTCCATCATCGTGGTAGTGACGAACTCAAAATGCAATCGCCACCGCACATCAACGAGATCCGTGCGGAAAGTGGGAGTCACGTGCAGTGGGATGGGCACCACTACCTGCGTTTGGAGCGTGGCATAGCACACTTGGTGAGTTGTTGAGATGGTCATCAGTTTGCCCGTTGGTGCCGACGACTCTTTATCCCGTGCGCTACCTGACGTGGCCGACTTATGCAGATTATCAGCTACCACTCCGCTGGCTATGCTGGCCATGTCAAAGGAGTTAATCGAGGAGACGTCATCCCCGACAGAGGATTGGGATTGCAGGTGGTGGCTCTGACTCTGAACTGGCTGCGGGCGGAGGGGCAGTTCCTGCTGCTGCAGCTTTACCGAGAACTGGACGCAGCGCACTTGGCACTGACTGAAGTCCAGGCTGCCCACAATGTCTTCACCCAGTTTGTATGCTTGCTTAAATAAGCAGAAACGGCCCACGAATCCGCGCTTGTTGGAAATGCGATAGAACTTGGGCGCCCGACGGGCGGTTACATTCTGAAAAGGTTAACATTTTCGAGTTAAAGCATTGAAAGCAATAAAAACAAACTTACTTTTAGATGGTGCCAGGAGATCTCCAGCTCACTGATTTCCCGTTTCTCCAGGAAGGGATTTGTGGGCGCCAGTTCTTCATTAGTTTCGACAGTCACGGGCAGCTCATCAGGCCGAGCGATGACCGGAATCGGCAGGACTCGTATGGGCACAGTCAGCGTCTGCACCTTAGACTTGACACGCTGCGTAGCTATGGTGATCTTGTAGAAATAGCGAATATCGTGACCTCTGTAAGTGGGTGGACCATCGCGGGGCACGAATTCATTGAAAAAATCTAAAATACAGAATTTAAACAAAAGAACTCTGAATAAAGAACGAATGTTACTCACAAATCTTGGTCTCTCCGGGCTGCAGGCGCAGGTCGCAAAACAGGATCTTCGGCTTGGTGGCTACTATGACTTCCCCGGGCGCCTGGGTCACCGCATCCAGGGCGGTGCGCCCGATCATCTCCGTAAGTTCGGCGGTTCTGTCCGTCGAGGAGGTGGTGTAGCTCGTTTTCCGGTAGCAATGGAGCTGCGCCGAGGCCCACGCAAGATTTTCCTGGCTATTAGAAAAGAATGTTTTCATTAATTGAACTATTACACGATTTGTTTTGATAACCTTGCTTCGTTGGCATTTCGGTTTTTCGTTGAACCCTGCTCATCCGGAAATACCTTGTGGGTGAACTCAATTAGGCATTCAACTCTTTCCCCAGTTGCATAAATGGCCGAGTCGGCACGCAACAATTTGGCTTTGATTTCAATCATTTATTTATTTATAAGTGGAAAGCAACACCATCGATTTCCATAACATTCGACTTTTCGATTACAACAGCCGAAGAATATGGAACACTCGATTTTTAAAGCCGTAGCCGATAAATGTGACCGTAGCCAGAGCGCCAATTATCCGAGGATTTCAAAATAATGTTTAGCTTTGCTACAATACAAAAATAAACAGTTATATTGTAATTGATTAAATAAACGAATTAGGAGGGAGAATAATTACAAATTAAACACGTAAAAGATAAGAAAAAACAAAGCAAAACCCCAAGAAACGGACTAATAGAAATTGCACCTTATTCTGCAATCAAATTAAATTATTGAAATATAATCAAATCTAAAACATATTTCTTTATTTTCGATTAATTACATATTTTGTATAGCTTTATATTGCAAGTGTAGCCGAAGAAAAAAATGTGCATTTTCTGGTGACGCATCCTAAAAGCTCCTTCATCTTACTCCATAGACTTTATTAACGTTATCAATGATAATGCAGTCCTGCAAATCTGGAAGTAAATAAGACTTAAAAATTAAATTTATATTTTACGTTGCTGAAATTACTGCAACAAAATTCGCCAAAGAGGCATCATAGAATCCGGCTCTAATCAGTACTTCCCGCTGGGACCGCATTATGATCATGGATAAAGATCTTCGAATCTTCGGAGAGGCTAAATACCAGTTTGAAAGCCGGACAGCCACATCAACCTGCAAACTCTGTAATAAATCAAATATAATATTCGAATATGTCATTTAAAACTTACAAACTTACCTCAACTTTAATTATTTCACCACCGTAACAATAAATAAATAATTGCAACATTATAGAAGCAAAAAAAGAGGCGTATAACAACAGATCCATAATTGAGTCCATATGCTAAAATTGCATATAATATACATATATGTCAATATGGAGGATTTTAACAAACCGTTACGAGCTGGTAGATTATCACTCCCACTTGCAAGGATGTAATGACAAACTGTCCAAACACTGTGGGCATGTAGATCGAGCGCAATTTCGTTGATAAGGAGAGCAGTTCCTCGTGATAATGCACCACCGATTTCAAACCCGCCTGTATGTCCTTTTCGGACAAGGTCAAATCAAAGTGCTCGATTTCCTGCTGCAAGGTCTGAAAGTGTCCTCGCAGATTAATGGCAAATGAAATGAACAAACCATCGACAGCTGATGCGTAGGCCACAACGACGACAGTAACGAGCACGGTATACATAAACCCAAATTCATATCCGGGACTGTCCACATCGTTAAAGGGGAACCTGTAACAATATAGGAACCCACAAAATAGTACCTAAATTAGGGGATTGATCTAGCTTACTTCATGGGCATGGGTAGTTCCCTGACATATATTGTGCCTCGCCACTTGCTAGTCACGATTTGTACTATGGGTCCCAACATAAAGTATACGCCCGTTAGGCCGCAGGAGATGCAATATGCTCTTCCCAGTACGGAAGCCTGTTTGTTGGCCTCTTCCACATAGCCGTATCCATTGCCGTCACCTGCTTTCTGTCGTGCTGTCATAAAATTCAATACGATTAAAATTTTTTCAACATTATCAGAAGATCTTTTACATTCCTCATGCATTTCCCTGAAGCGGTTAATCATTTTCCAAAAGTTCTTCTTAAACACCAGAAAAGTTGTAATCTTAATGACGGTTAGCAGATTGGTGAACACAACACTTAGACAGGCTGTGATTTCCTCCATATCATTTCGCTTATAAAAGATATAGGAGATAAGAGGATACTGCGCCGATATAACGAATAACAGTGAGATAACGTGATTCAATTTTAGAGATATCTTTTCGTTTGTATCAATATTGGGGGGACTATGCCCCATCGTTCGCAGGCAGTTTTCCTGCAGTTGAAAGAGACGACTCATGACTTTGGCTTCACTATGTGGAGTATCAAAGGGTTCCGCTTGCAATGCCTGTTATATAAGCATTTTCAATGTTCTAATTATCGTATTGATTAATTAATTATTTGTTTTGCCAATGTCGCTTGACAAACTTTCTACTAATTACTGTGCTGATAGGTTAAGAAGGTTTTGACATGATAATTGAGGCATTATTTGGTTTAATTGATAATTGTTATTATCGTCTTACTGTGACAGTCGATGTCAATAGCATTTTTAATATACTATTTTTAACATAGGTGGAAATTTTTTTGTTCATTGTTTTATCTGTCCAACTCACCCGGTTTTTAATTTTAAGTATATAACTCTATAACAGATTGGGTATTAACCTCTTCGGATAACTTTAGGATATGTCTTGTTTCATTTTGAAGTTCAGAAACTTTAAAACTGGTAAAGGAATTCCTATTTTCACGAAAAGAACTGTGCATTAATGTTTTTCAGGGTCGTTGTCTAGTTAATCGTTTTAAGACCAAGTGCATCGCCCAGATTGACATACTTGTTATTCTTATCATTACTAATACTAATGAAATCAATAAAGCTAAAGTTCGGGAAGACTTCAATCGCTGTCGGCATATATGTAGGTATATAGTCAATGAAATCTGATAATGCAGTTCCGACTCCTATAAATAAGCAGCTTGCACGTCCAGAGTCAACAATTAAGGCTCAACCAACAAAGAAGTATTAGTTCAAAATGAGCAACAGTAAGTCGACAGATAACAGTTAAAAGCTTATTTGTTATAATAAATTATTAATTAATTTATTCACATTTTCCCAGAATTGACGGTGGCATTGTTGCAGCTGCCCGTGGGCAGAGATGTGTCTGCAAATGTCTTACGAGCTGTTCAGAGCGTTAAGAAACTAAAGGCGGATAACCCGAAGTTGGAGCTGGCCATTTTGCCGGAAAGCTTTAACGCTCCCTATTCACAAGAGGACTTCCCAAAATTTGCCGAGCCCGTTCCCGCAGGTCCAACGTGCCAGGCTCTATCTAAGCTGGCCCGAGAGTTAAAGATTCATATAATAGGAGGCAGCATTGTGGAGCGCGAGGGAAATAAGCTTTACAACACTTGCACCGTGTGGTCGACCGACGGAACTTTAATTGGACGGCATAGAAAGGTAAGCTGATGCTGCTGCTGCTGCTGAACATTTAAAACCATTATTCTCATAGATTCATCTCTTTACCATGAGCATTGATCCTGAAAATTCTGGAGGCGTGCAATTCGATGAGGCGGCGGTGCTGACAGCAGGCTCAGAGGTGACAGTTGTCCAGATTGGACAGCAAAAGATTGGCATTGGCATTTGCCATGACAAGCGATTCGATGAACTTGCGCGCATCTACCGGAATATGGGTGAGCAAATCAGCCTCTCATTTCCATAGCAACTATAGTTTTTAATTAATTAATCCTACAGGCTGCTCCATGCTGGTTTACCCTTCCGCCTTCTGCATTTGCCAGGGCCCCATGCACTGGGAACTCCTGCAACGAGCACGTGCCACTGATAACCAGCTCTTTGTGATCACCTGCTCGCCGGCCAGGGACAACATGTCGGGCTATGTGGCATATGGACACTCGATGATTGTGAATCCCTGGGCCCAGGTGCAGCGTGAGGCTGGCGAGGGATGCGAGTTCATTGTTGAGGAGATTGGTAAGTTTGTCTCTGCCGTTGCATAGAGAGTTGCTCCGCTGACCATCCGGCTTCCCTTCGTACAGATTTCGATATGGTCGAGCAAGTACGCCGGCAAATTCCCATCTACAAGCAGAGGCGCACCGATGTCTACGCTAAGGTCAGGTCTGATTTGTAAAGCTGGGGGGAGGGGCATTAAGCTCTCCTATCAAGTGAATAAAGCATTATTAAAAACAGCGGGAGAGAAATTTACTGATACTGCTTGACATGCTTATCGCAAAGGAAATATACATACAAGCCATGCATAGTCGCCCCTCGAGAGAATGAGTTTCAGCTTGAGTTGAGCAATGGCAACGGATGTCGATAGGGCTGGAGCTTGGCTCTCAGTGTGGCAAAGCAAGCCGAATCAATGGCAGGCACAAATCTCGCGCTAGGCGCATCGCTCGTCCTCATCCTTTGCGTGTGGGCTGGTGCAGCGCAGGGTCAGGTGGCCTATGTGCGAAACCTCTCGGAGCTGCGGATCAAGGAGCTGGAGAACCTGGCGGTGCGATTGCAGCAGACCATTAACCATGAGAAGTATGCCTGTGAGAGTTACTTTGACTATGTCTGCAGTAGCAATCGAACGCTATTCTCAATCATGGGTAGGTTTATATGACATGGGATTCTAAAAGAACACCAACTAAACTTAATAATTAATCCCAGGCCACATGCCAAAGCTCAGCGAACTTATCCAACTCTTGACCGAACTTCAAAATGATCCAGAGCAGTTCCAGGCCAAGCAAAAGCTAATAGACTTCTTCATCTCCTGCAACACACGGCACGGCGTGGAGGATTGTTATCGTGAGACCTTCGAGTACTTCAAGCCCCTTTTTGGTTACATAATAACCAAAAACATGCTGGAGACAGGTTCCCACGAGCTTACGGATTTCCTATACATTCTGGACAACTTTGTTCTTAAGACCAAGGGAGACTTCGGCTCTCATCCCATCTACAGCAAGCTGGCCACGTACAAGGAGAAGTTCCGAACGCCTCGCATATACTTTCACTCTGCAGACCTCAACCGGGAGTACCAGGACCTGCGGATCTACCGGGAGAGCTATGAGCACAACGTCAGAAACCTAGAGATCCACCGCAAGAGGAATTCCACCTACGAGCTGGGCGTTCAACGCACCATTTTGGACTGGAGCCTGTACCTATTCCAAAGCCGGAACAAGCCCATGTCCTACTACTACTCCACATTCGCCGTGCACCTGTATATGACACTCTACAATAGTACGGAGCGTCAGAGGGACTTTACGCGTTTCCGGGAGGAAGTCGAGTGCCTCAAACTGCCGCAATTCGTCAACGTTTTGGATGAGGCTCGAATGCTGGCCGTAATCTATCTCAAGAGTTTTCGTGCAGTGTGGGAAGACTATCGGACCTGGATTGCCGTAAAGTCGCAAAACCAAGAAATATACGATCAGGAGGATGGAATACTGCACAAGTATCATCTGAACAACAAGCGCATCTTCTTCACCCTTTATGCCCAGAACTTCTGTGAGTTTGGCAAGGATCTGGCCGAGCACGTGTTCTACCTAGGTCTTAAGCAGAATCCTGATTTCGTCAACATTTACTCGTGTGGTTTTCAGACGGAAAACTCTATAAGGTGTATCTAAAACTTGGAAAACTGTATTCATATATTAATTTAAGAAATCACAATAATCAATCAATCTACAATAGAAGCACGGTAATTCACTCCCTAAAGCATTTTGTTTGATTATTTTCTGGCAACATTCGCACCTTTATAACTATTATTTGACAAGTTTTATTGTTGAACTTTAGCTTCAGCTCCGCTACCTGGGTTTAGGCTTTTACTTAGCCTACATTTAAGCACATTTTCGAAGTAATCAGCTACCTGTTGCCTTCGATAAAGCTTAGCCAATTCGCTGCAGGATTTCCCAACTCCATCCAGAGTCGTCAGGTCTGCGCCGTGGGTAACTAGGACTTTGATAATCTCCAGGTTTGAGTCCATAAGCACTAAAAGAAAAGTAAGGATTTTAGGTTTAATTGGCTTTTGGTTTATTCTTACCTCCGTGCATGAGAACAGTCCAGCCACAGGCATCCCTGGCCTCCAGATTGGCTCCGGACTCCAAGGCAAACTTCACCATTTCGAGCTGATTAGCATCGACGGCACAGTGCGTGGGCGTCAGGCCATTGCAGTCCCTCGCCTCCAGCTGTGCCTTTTTATTTAGCAGGATACGCGCTGATGGCAGATGACCGAAGTAGAAAGCCAACTAAAAATATATTCATATATTATATATACTAAACAATGGTTCTTCCTACACACATGTAATGGTGTTCTTCCGCTAGCAGAATTGCCCACATGAACACTGCAGCCTGCTGATAGCAAGACATCTATAATACACATCTCGCCCTGAATAATAGCATTGGCTAGGGGCAGGTAACCATTGGAATCGGGGTATTCTATAAGACTAGGTCGCCGGCGCAGCATACGTTTCACCAAAAATTGCTGACCCTTTCTAATGGCTCGGTTAAGGCAATTTGTTGTTGGTAGTGCAGCTTCCGTGCAAGCCTGGAAATGTTAAGCAAAATTATCTTATAAACTACTTTAGTTACAAAAAAATTGATAAATAATTACTATTATGTCCGGCGAGATGGCTATAGCCACGTAGCAGTTTCCACTTTCGGCAATCTGAAGCGCTTTGATGCGTAACCGATATCCAAAGTTCTCCTCCAGATTGGTGACATCCACGGGAGAGCTGCTGGTCCACTCCGCCTGTTGCCAGCCATGTCGATTATGGTATTGTTCCACGCTGTAGACCAGTGCATTTTCCAGCAAAGAAAACTCAAGGCTAACGCTATTAACAGTTGGATTAAAAACTCGTGCTTTAAATTCTGGCCATGCCAGACCAGGTGACTCCAGTTCTTGGTTACACTGAGTATCCTCAGACATTCTACTACAGTTTAATTACACTTGGGCCCCAAAGAGCACACTCCCAACAGAGACCATGGCAACATTAAGTCTATTTCGCTTTTCTGTTAAATCAATAATGAACAAGAAAGGAAAGCAAATTGATTTTGACTTCGACTGAAGTCCATAAGTGAAGCACAAGCTTGGCATGTTGAAAATTGTGGGTCTAACTGAAGAAGTTCCCCTATTTTGGGGCCCATTCATGTAAACGGATCATTACACAAACCGCAAGGGCTTAAGGGGCATTTAGCACAGCATATACACTGCCAGTGCACAAATGTTAACAAAACGTTTCAAACATAATCAAAATGTTATTTATTCCCCAGAAAAGATTTTACCAACCAACCAGCAGACATGATAAATGAACTGCATTGCGAACGGTGGAGAAACGATCGGTTTGCGAAGCATGGCCAACTATTGCGCTCGACGGGTCATTAATTAAGCCTGACAACGCACATCAGCGGTGGTCGAGGTTGTGCGCTTCTACGGGTTTCAAACTTCAGACTAGGTGCGACACGACTTGATCATCCAGAGACTTCAGACTCCAATTGACTCATCGCGAAGTGAACGCTACAATTCCTAGCTCCAAGGGACCGTGGGGTCACGGTACACCTTCAGTGATCAAAATCTATTTTTATAAAGCGTCGTTAACCACATTGCCCATCCAAAATGAAAGTAAATGGCAGAACAAGTCATTGTCGACGCCACAGCGTTTTCACATTACTTTAACAACATCACCAGGGCAGTCGATTTAGGCGAGTAAGGTACCAGATCTTTGAGAATATGAGAGTTAAGTCATGCTAAGAAAGGTTGCAGAATTAGTTCTTAAGAAGAATGCATCTTTAGTTTTCCCTTCCTTATCTAAGCTTCTTTTTATTTTTTCAATCATAGCTAAATAGGAAGCTTTTAATTCTTTGATCTTTAGCTCGGAGCTGTTTTTATTGCTGTAAGGATGCAAAAAGGATAGGTTTAATCCCATATATGTCCTTCGGATTTATTAATTTTGATTAGCAAATTTAATCCCTAACTCCATAGTACATAATATTGAGTCCACACTGAACTAAAATTGATTAAACTCTTATGCAATTTCACTTTTAATAACATTTAATCGACTCGCCGTGTAGCAGTAGCCACCGGCTAGAGGGCAAAAGCAAACTCGCAACGTAATGACAGCACCGGGGTGTCGCTGGCTTGGTGTATCGAGGCATCGGAGGGAACAATTAAGCGGTACCACAAAGACCTGGCCGGGGGAACCACGCTAATTGACCATGTATTGCCAGCAACTACGAGCAAGTCTCGCCATTTAATGAGGGATGCGAAGAGCCGGAAAGGTAAATGGCGAAGAAGAGCTGCGCTACGCAGAAGACGAGCTAAAAACAAATACAATGAACATGCAACAAATGGAGGCTGTGCGCTCTTTTTTGGCAGTTTTGCCTGGGACCATGACTCTTTCTGGGGCTCTGGCGTGGATCATTGTTGAACTTCACCTATTAACTTTCCAGCATCGTTGGCGTTGGAGTTGGGAGTTTAAGCTATGTATAAAAGCGGCCCGAGCAACCGAACAATCATACAGTTCACTACGAACCACTAAGAAAGCCAAATCACCGGTCCTACCCCGTCCAACCAACTCAACCAAGCCTAGAAATGCGTGGATTCATTGTAAGGACAACCACTAGTGAAGGCAACTTGTTATAGGACTAACACCCAACCCTTTTCTTCTTAATCTTTAGGTCTTGTGCCTTGCCACCGTGGCGCTGGCTGCGCCCCAGGGATACAACTACAACCCTGGCCCATCCGGCTTTGGTGCCATTACCACGGCAACTGGTGGATCCACATTCTTCCAGGGCGCCGCCCAGACGGCTCCAGCCCAACAGCAGGCCTTCTACCAGCAGCCGGCGGTGCAGTCCCACCAACACCACCACCAGCAGGTTCAGCAGGTGCAGCAACAGCAGCAGCAAGCCATCGTGTCTAAGCGCTTCTTCATCCACTCCGCTCCGGAGGAGGCCGAGGACTACAAAGAACGTCATATCACCGTCGGTGTGCCCAAGAGGAACTACAACGTGGTCTTCATCAAGTCTCCCCAGCGCAACAACAGGAAGACCATCAAGATCAGCCCCGCCGCCAACGAGGAGAAGACCGTCATCTATGTCCTGAGCAAGAAGGGCGAGAGCGATGTGCAGGCCGAGGTTGTCGAGCAGGCCAGCTCCACCAGCAAGCCCGAGGTCTTCTTCATCAAGTACAAGACCAGCGAGGAGGCCGCCCACGCCCAGCAGCAGATCCAGGCTCAGTACGACGCCCTTGGCGGCAGCAGCCAGCTCACCGACGAGGGTGTGGCCCCCGTGACCTCCGTGATTGGAGCTCTGGGAAATACCGACGGTCACGCCGATGCTGGATCCGCGGTTGGTGTTTCCGGAGGTAACCAGATCATTTCCACTGGCTCCGCCGGTTCGCACACAGGCAATGCCTACCTTCCACCCAATTTCTAAGCTGTTGAGTTGTTAAAAAAGGATCGCTTAATCCTACGTCCTTGGGACGAATGTTAATAATAAACTTTACTTGTTGAATTTAATCCACTTTGATAAGTGTTTCTGGAAGAAAAGGGATAACTGGATATATATATATTTTTTTTTTGTATAGGATATTTTTTAGGATATTATGACCTCTACAAGATTCCATCATATTTTAGCAAGTTTAAACACTTAAAAAAATTATATTATAATTAAGAACGGAACTAACTTTAGGAAACCAAAGCTAGAATATCCTTGCTGTTTGAAAATAATATTAACTAAGACAAAAATGGTTTAGTTTCAGTTCGGTAAACTTTTCAATACTAGGTTTCATTAGAATAACAACTCTACATAATTAGTTTAATGTTTAAAAAATTACCATTTTTATGCATTTTTGACAATTTTAACGACTTATAAATTTTTGAAAATTTTGAGAGACATAAACTTTGCAAACATATCTTGATTAACTCTGGTGTTAATGGTGATCACGAATAAATATATACTTTATAGGGTTGAACACGACTCCGTCACTGCTTCTGACTGAAGGTATAATATCCAAAAGTGGTATAATAATGTACCTAAAGTTGGCGCCAAAGTGAGCTGCAGTTTTGAAACTGTCGTAATGGTATGAAATCAAATTGGTGATTATTTTATCCTTATTTTATCCTTATAAGTGTATCACTTTAAATTACAATTAAGTAATGCCTAAAAGCCTAAGTAGCTATGGCTGACCCCACCTTTAGCTTTGGTTTATAACTTAAAACAAACAGGATGCAAATAAATAAATTAAATAAACAAATAGGGTCCATGGAATAAGGAAATTGATTTTAAGATAAATGCGTAGCTAGCACATCTGATTTTAGACCTTGACATGATCTCTACTATAGCATCTGTATACATGATATAATTGTCATTGTTAAGACTTACCGTAATAGAGAACACACGGCTATCCCTTTTCGTCAGTGCTTAATTCCTTCCAGTGAAGAGTTATATTCTTGAAGACTTCTATTAGGCTTTTCATGGTGTCTCCGATTTGAGCTTCTTCCTGGTTATCCAGATGTATTGCATTGGCCAGGTAATATTTTTGGGGTTGAAGGTTAACCACTATGGATGTGATAGATGTGAACACTAGGCAGGGCACGGACAGAATGAGGTCAGAGGCGATGCTGTGCCTGTATTTATAGTCCCCGAGCGAAGAGAACAGAGAAAGTTAGAGCAAGAGAGAAAGAATAGGAAGAGAGAGAGAAAGAGCTATCTCTAGAGAGAGAGAGAAAGATAGGCATACCAAAAATGATAGAGCTAAAGGAGAGAGAGAGAGAGAGAGAGAGAGAGAGAGAGAGAGAGAGACACAGGGAGACAAGGAAAGAGAAAGAGAGAGAGATATTTTATTATTACAAAAACGTAAACTGCAATTAGATCGTTAATAATTTAAACAATATCAATATATATACATATGTTAAAAACATAGAATTAATACAATGAAACAATACTGTGTCATTATTTTTATTTTTTCGCGTTAATATGTTTTGCTGTTTATAAAAAATATACTTAATACTTAAAATAATAAGAACAACGATTGTAACCCGTTATTATTTTATTTTTATTACATTAACGATACTACCATAATTGTTAAAAAGAAAATGTGATAAACTAAATTTTCATTTCCCATTTTTATAACTATAAATATATTTTTCATATTTTATTCTCGCCGTGTAAGCTAAAGCTTCGGTGACCAATATATCACACCACTGGAAACCAATTATTAAGAAATCGACACTCATTTTTAATAAAATCGGTATGCAAATTTATTTCCATTTTACTTTGAAATTTTTTTGAATTAATTTAATTATTTAATTTAATTTGTTTATGTTTATCTCTGTGGGCTAGGGTTAGCGCCATAAGCCTTGACCATGTTAATTTTCCGGGCACGAAGGTGCGTGAAAGAGAAATTGGAAATGTGGTGTATGGTAAAAAAAAAGGTCTCTGACATACCATATACATATGATGCTTTAATACGATTGCCTAACTCGAAAAGACAATGAAGCGCACGTATGTATGTATATCTATAGGGTACTAATTCGGGTAAGAGTAAAGCACCAGGAGACGGGGATTCCCGCCGTCCGTGTGCTACGAATTGCGTACTACGCCCCCACAGCTTCCACACGAACGGATGAAAGGTTACATAAGCTGCATGTCATAAATGTGATTCCGCACTATTGGCGTACTTGTAACACATCCATCGGGAAAGAAACGCACGCCACGCTGTCATTTGAAGGGATTGCGTTTCATCTTGACCCCCGAGATAGCATTTGTGTTTTGATAAATCTTCAATAAGGCATAAAATCATCATCATCATCATTCATCTCTCGTGGGCCACTACTGGCAATGATGGACATTAATACAAAGTTGTCTGTCTTTAGAGGCTGCTCGCCAAAAAAAATACCTTAATTAATCTGCCAAAAAGGCCGCGAGCCCATATCATAATCCATATAAATATAAATACAAGCAAGCTCGGAACAACATAAAGCCCCGCAAAATGATCCAAACTCTTTAATAATAAGGTCATCGGAAATCAATGCAATTTATAAATTTTTTAAAATCATCGTTAAACAAAACACACAGCCTTTCAAGTTGACGCAATTGCTAATGCGATTATTATGTGATTTATGCAAGTTACGATTAGGGGCTGTTAATCTCAACGGTTCGTCAATTAGGCCGGGCCATAATCATATACTTATAAATGTATGTACATACTTGTATGTACATTCGCCTGGAAGTCAGGAACTGAATGAAAGCCAGCGAAATGGTCGGCAGAAACAAAAGCTTGCGATGTATATATTATGTGCATATACAATATACCCATACAGCCATCACATATGTCTTCCAGCCAAATGGCCTTTTCTCCAACTTAAGGTCCACAATATGACGCAGGGCTTTGCGTAGTGGTCAGAGCCGGAGAGCGTTAGGGTTTTTCGGTAACTGGACACAATAGTCACCGCTATCTCAAGGTTTCTTCAAAACGCCAGCTAGTTTTTTGTAAAAAGCGGTGGCTCTTTGGCCGCTCTTCGTTCACCTCTTCGTGCGGTTTAAGCCGAAGTCGTGGTTTCAGTTTCAGTTTCATTTAAACTTTTCGTCTCATCACCACGGGTTTTTCGTGAGCGACATTATTGAGGCAGCAGCGCCTTATAAGTCTGGGCGGCCAGTGATTAGCATTTAGTTGAATAGTGATTGCCAAAGCTCCAGGTATCTTCATCTGAGACGGAAATGCGTGCCTTCATTGTAAGCTCTCGGATGGCTACTCCCCCAGTTGCTGCATACTTAAGTAATGTCACTGGTTTTATTAGGTTTCGTGCCTCCTAGGCCTGGCCGTGGCCGCGCCCCAAGGATACAACTACCAGGCCCAGTTACAGCAGCAATTACCGGGTCTCCAGGCTCCCGCAGTGCAGCAGATTTTACCAGGAGGAGGTCTTCAATTCTCCACGTCGTCGAGTCAGCACAACCAGGTCTATCAGCAGCAGGCTCCACTTGGCGGAAATATTGCATACAATGTGCAGCCCCAGATATATCAGCCACAGCCCCAGATCCAGCAGCAGCAGCAACAGCAGCAGCATCTAGTCTCAAAGGACATCTATGTGCATGTCCCACCCGTTGATGTGGCAGAAGAAGCATATCCTCAGCCCGCTCTACCGCCGCCACCTCCTCGCAAGCATTACCGCATCGTGTTCATCAAGGCACCCACTCCCAGTGTCAGCAAGGCGGCTTTGCGTGTCAAGCAGGCTCCTGTGGAGGAAAAGACCATCATCTATGTGCTGACCAAGAAGCCGGATCCCCTGGATCTGCAGGCGGCCATTGAGGAAGCCGCTCCCAAGCAGCCCAGCAAGCCGGAGGTCTTCTTCATCAAGTATAAGACCCAAGAGGAAGCTGCGCATGCGCAGCGCACCATTCAAGGTAAGCAGCACCCACCACATCGAACTCATGGTCTGAGCCACGCTTCAATAGCTAATCTGATGGATATGCAAAAATCATAGCATTGGGGAACTTTTATTGCTGGTTTTTCTGCCAGTTGACAATCATCATGGCATTTGATGGCTATTACTAACTGTGTTTTCGTTTCCCTGCAGCACAATACGACCAGCTTGGCGGCACATCACAGATTTCCGACGAGGGCGTCGCACCTGTCACCTCGGTAATTGGAGTTCTGGATAACCAGCAGCAGGCGCAGAGAGGTGGTCTATCGAGTGTAGTGCCAAATAATTATTTGCCTGCACTGTCTGGTTAATTATTGCCAATTGAAAAGAACTGTTGTACCTTTAAGTATCCAAATATTGTATATATTTTTAGCTAAATAAACAAGATCACTTGCCAAAACCTATAACTTTTATGATCCAAATCAGTGGCATTTCTTTTGTTTATAAGATGATGCCGAAACTGGTTTTGCTCCAAAGACTCCCAAAAATGTGTCAAATTGTATTTTCTATGGCCCATATTACCACATCCACATCTATTAGTGGTCCAATGATCAATGAGCAAAAGCCAAGAGCTTCGGGGAAACCGGTCACATTAATTAGCATATGATTCGTCTTACATAACTATGATTAGACAACACCAAAACTTGATTTCAAAGGGAGCTGATAATTGATCCTAAGGCAGTTAAATTTTTTATAGCATAGCATATTGCATAAACTTATGCAGTAACATTTGAATTAAAGTAAAATCTTAATTAATAAAACTTAAAAAATATATGTTTTAAAATTCTGATTAAAGCATTTCTTTATTTTGCCTCGTCTTTTGCATTAACAATAAATTAAAATATGCTACAATGGGGCGATTGACACAAGTGGAAATGGAAGCGAATGTGCGGACCTAGTCCTGTGCTTATTTGAAGGTCTTGGCGGGCACATAGTTCCTTGATGGCACAAAGGAGGAGGTGGCCTGCTGCACGAAGGAGTTCTGCTGCTGGCTCACAACTGGCGACTGGACAATGGTCTGCACCTGAGGCTGCTGCTGGACGATAGTCTGGATGTGCGGCTGCTGTTGGATAATGGTTGAGCCCTGAGTCTTCTGGGACACAAAGCTACCCAGGTTGAGGGATCCACCCGAAACGCTAGTGATGGGGGCAACACCCTCGTCCGAGATGTGAGTGGCGCCTCCCAAGGCATCGTATTGGGCCTGGATCTCCTGCTGGGCACGCTGGGCCTCCTCCTGGGTCTTGTACTTGATGAAGTATACCTCGGGCTTGTGCACCTTGTTCTCGGTCTGGGTGACTTGCAGCTGCTGCTGGATCTCCGTGAGATCGGGCTTCTTGGAGAGCACGTAGATGACAGTCTTCTCCTCGTTACTGGACTGAGCTCGCTTCAGGGCGGCGGCGGTGTACTTCAGGTTCTGGGTCGGCGCCTTGATGAACACAATGCGGTAGTTCTTGCGAATGGGCAGGTTATCCAGCTGAGGCTCGTCCTGGCGCACCTCCTCAGTGTCCTCGGGGGCAGAGTGGATGTAGATATCCTTGGTCACGATGGCAGGGCGCTGCACATACTGGGTCTGAACGATCTGCTGAGGCTGCTGCTGGTGCTGCTGCTGGTGGTACACGACCTGTTGAGTCTGAGGCTGCTGCACGGTGTTGATAAAGTTCTGCTGAGGCTGAGCAATGGGCAGAGGTGCGGAAACGGGAATGGAAACGGGAGCTGGAGCTGGAGCGGGAATGGATTGGACAGTCTGAATGGCTGGCTGCTGGGCCTGGACACTGATCTGAGTCAGGGCTGGTGCTGAGTAGATTCCACTGGGCGAGACGGGCGTCTGCGGGCGAAGGTTGCCAATGGGCAGGGCGGGACCCTGGGCCTGGTACTTGTATCCCTGAGGAGCGGCTGCGGCGAGAGCCGCCAGACACTGTAGGGACAAAAACAGGTGAATTAGATGCTGCAAGATGAAGGCTTGAAGAGTGATCCAATCGCTTACCACTAGAACGACAATCGGTTTCATTTTTCACTTCGTACTCTCTGAGCTGCAAAGGTCGACTGATGCCCTAGCCACCCGATATCACTGTTTTTATAATGCAGCAACTTTAGCTGGTTGGTGCTACCAACGCATTAGAAATGATATTTAATTTCCAAGAGAAAGAAAGAAATATTTAGGCGCAACCATAAAATGATCGAATCTATTGTCGCCCGAACCACTCCGTATATGTAACTGGCTTCGTTAGTCGATTACCAAATCACGGATCCATCCGTGTTCCCAGACCCAATGTGTTGAAAGGCACGGGCTGGCTGTTATCTAACGCAGAGTCTGGCTCTGGCTCTGGCTCGGACACCAACGTCGAGCTCACATTTGAATAATTGTCTAATATTCCCCCCATTGTCAGCTCTGCATCTATATAAATGCAAAATATTAATCGTTAAGGCGCCACTTCGATTGACAAAACGGGGCTGAAAGAAAGAAAGTAATTTCCTATCCACCTACCCAAACGAACACCCATTCGCGGTGTGAGGAACGATCTGCATTCATTATCGCAAGATGCGAGCAGTGGCCACCAGATGTGTCTGGCGATGGGGCACCGGCGTCTTTAAACTGGTATGAGGCATAAATTAATCTATAGTTTATTTTCATCCAACCGAAAAACAAACCATGAATTTGTAATATTTCCTTTGACACTTGCCTATAGTTTAATTGAATAGCTAGACTTTATAGTGGGAATACTTTAAAATCCCATATATACGTTATATGATAAAACACATCTGTAGACAGTAAACTCTTTCTAATTTTAAAAACATTGATGGTTTAAGAGGAGATAAATACAGAAAATAAAGAAAGAAATTCATGAGTTTGAAGATAACATAGATATCTTAAGCAATAAAATATAGTTAATACTAATTATTCTTAGTTTAAAAATATTATAGTATATATATATTGTTCCCTAATGACCATCTCTGCTCTATTATCATCAAGAGACATCACAAGTGGTGCGGAATTACTGATAGAAATATCATACATGAAGTTATTTTTTTATAGACGCACAAACAGGGCTGAGATGCAGTCTCTACCTAAATAATATCAATATAAAGATCTCGTGCCTATCACAATATAAAAATTGGGAGCGTAGCGGGGGCTAGCACAGCGTGATCCTGCGTATACGTAATGCGTATATGTGATGCGTATACGTAATAAGTATACATGATGCGTATACGTAATGAGTATATGTAACGTATTTATAATAGTTAATTAAGTTCATTCCATCGTATAACTTAAAGCAAGATCTTGTCCTTGCGTATACGTAATCCGTATACGTAATATGTACATCAATTTGCTCTTTAAAAAAAATTAATCAAATTCAATCCATAGTACAACTTAAAACAACTAATTTGGAATAATATAATAACAAATCAAAGTTTTTTAAATCTATTCTACAGTTTTCTTGTTCACTATTTCAATGTTTTTTAATAAAACACGTTATTTTCATTAATTTATTATACCATACAGATTGTCAAACATTTTCATAAAACTTAGTTCGGCCTAGTCATTGCTCCATGTCGTTTGTTCGATCCAGTCCAAGTAGAAGGACACTCGGGTGTAAACGGATGGATAATTACTGCGACAAAAGACCCCATACGAGGTGATACCGATTAGATGATAGTGGATTCTGTGCCGTCGTCGGCGACCAGGAAGATTAAGCTGCAAAGGACCACCAGAGTCGCCCTGACAAGTGTCTCTGTTGAGATTGTAGTCTTGACCGCAGATCTGGCTATCAAGGACGCCATTAGGGGTCTCCGCGAGGGCCGGCAGCTCCTGGTTGCACTCTGCATTCGGCACTATGGTCAGATTGAGGTTCGTGAGACGGTTCGTCATGGGCTTGGTGAAGCTCGTTGCCCCATATCCCATTGCGAATGCAATTGTTGTTGGCAGCTCCGAGTAAATCCACAAGCGTATGGGCCTGACGTACACCGTTAATCTGTCAGAGACAACCAAAACAATATATATAGAGAGGGGCAAAACCAGACTGACTTTTGGGATTACTCACTCAACTTTACTCTCAAGCTTCAACAGGGCTATATCGTAGTAGTAGAAGTCTTTGTTGTAATCGGGATGCGTGATTATTTCCTGTATCCGCATCAGTTGTGGCTCCACATTCCGCTCCTCGGCGACCAAATTTAGATCCCCGATGCGCACCCATTTGGGGGCCAAGCTTAAGGAAAAATATTGGTACTCGCGGAAGATTGGATCAGCGGATTTCTAAAATGCTCACTCGTATATGGAAGTACAATGGGCAGCGGTTAGTACAAAATTTTCGCTTATCAGGCTACCGCCGCACTTGTACTCGACTTGACCTCCGCCAGCCTCAAAGCCCACGGCTGCCTGTGAAAAAACAGATTTGACGGGTTCTGGTTAAGCAGCACAGCAGCAGCAATTAGGCTTTCTGTACCATATGGGGGTATTCACCAGGTCTGACCAGTATACGGCCATCAAAATCCGCGTCATTTGCGTCGGCAGCCACAGCCGTGTCATTGGGGAAGATCTGCTCAACGTACTGTGAGTATTCTTGGGATGTGATCAAGGATATGACTCAGGAGTCAAACAAAGCAAAATTTGAAGCTACTTACTCTCTTCACATATGCGACGGCGCTGGTTTTTCTTCTTTTTGAAGCCCCAGGGTGGCGGTGGAAAGGGTTGCCCTGGTTTCGGAGGCGGAGGATGGTGCTTGGGCTTAGGCTTGGGCCGATTCTCCTCGCCTCCGTATCTAAAGTCATTTATGTGATACCACATCTTCTCCGACGACTCGTTAGAACCATTATCGGAGTCGGGAAAGAGTATGTCTTTTTCCACAGGAAAGTAAATCGAAGATTTTTCGGGCAGCCCTGGTTGACCCCTAGGGGGTGGTGGGTGAGCAGCTTCAAAGGCGGCCAGATAGCATAGCCCAAAAAATAAAAACAGCGCCAGAGACAAAGCCATTTCGGAGGCTCTGTGAACGCGACGAGAGTCGCGAGCAAACTAAATCCCATACCGATCGGTAAATCCCCAGAAGCCGAAGACGCACAGCCTTATCAACGCAGGGTTTTAATTGTTTTAAGACTCACAAAAATTATAAAATTTATTTCCAGCAGGCACATTAAAAGTTGACTCTTAAATTTGATGGGTTTATAACATTAGCCGTGAGTGGAGCGTGCACTTGTGTGGTTCCTCCGATCTGGTTCTGGTACTGAGCAATGATTGCTCGCTGAATGGCCTCCAGATCCTGGTCATTACGATACCGCAGCACGGACACAGAGGGAGCGTTATCCACGGGTTTGGAGATGACAGATGAAGCCATCAGGGCGAGCACAGCACACAATAGGATAACCTGCCAGTGGGTCTTTTAACATAGTAACACTTTCGGCCGTAGAATATTTATAGACTTACACTTGTCGCCTTCATTCTGTCGCAAATCTTAGTTTAGACTAAAAAGCGGGCCCGGAGCCTGAGGCGTTTTTATACCCAAATTTTAAGCCATCTCGACTTATTCATAATTTGCAACAATGAACTCGAACAACTTGTACTAAACCCGTTTTCGAATTTATTCGCTGCTAACTGGTAGCAAGACACAGTTCGGATAAATAAGTCGACGGCTGGCGTTTGATCTAAGAGCTGTGAATAAATATATGTATTTATGGTTCAAGTTCAAAATTAGTTGAATACATTTTGCCACTGTCGGTCCACATTGCACCGAATGTAAGACATGTCTTTATTATATTCATTTTGGTTGCTTCTTTTTATAAATATTTTGTGAGCAGGCAAATAAGAAAGCCAAAGAGAACTTGAAAATCTAAGCAAAAACGAGTTTTCTCGGCTGTAAGATACCCAGTATCCACCACTTTTTTGCGTTAAATTAAAAGAAAAGATAAGCCAGAATGATCCTAATATTATCAAATAATACTTGATTAAATCGTAAATCTCAAGAAAATAAACATTGTTCATTTTCACCCATGTACACTTATATAAAACTCTCCTCCAAAAAGCTTTAATTTACCAATAAAGTTTTCCAAGAGATAAAAACTTGTAACACAGTATATATGTACATACATTGCAAAGTTGTTTGTTTTATTATAAAGTTATATCATAATAGAAGTTTTCGTAAGGCAAAAACAAACAACATTTTTGGTACATTTTGCTGAGAATTAAAGTATTACACCTAGACCTCATTGTTGGCATCCAAAACCTTCTGTTTGACGTCTTCGTAGGATTGCAGATTCTGTAGATGATCGAAAAATATAATCAAAGTTAAAACTAAGCAATTGTATACTGTATTGTAGTTAACAAAAAAAAAGCATGATGAAAATGTATTAGTATTCTACTTACGAATCGGAATGTCGATAGTTTTAAACATGCAAAGTGACGTTACTAAGTTCAGATAATGTTAAGTAGCAAAACTTGACGAACACCAACGAGTATTTAAGAACGAGAGAAATGGGTTAAGACAATCCTCCGCACACTAACCTGCCAGTAGGTATCGTCCCACTCGGGGAACATTCGCTTGAAGACTCGCGGCTCCTGTCCCTGAGGAACACGGATTATGCTCACGGTGGCCATGGAGCGATCAGTGGGCTCTAATCTGATATAGCGCTGTGGGACGATAATCATAATTAATAACAAAACAAATAGTTTAAATTGGCATTCAGCTTACCTTAGCCATGTCCAGAATCTTGGCATTTTCCTCCTCAGAGGCACCGGAACCAACCCACAGATAGATCTCATCACCGGCATCCAGCAACATGACATCATCAGAGTCCAAATCCTCTTGCTCGTACTTGGCCACTTCCTCGACCTTCACCAATCCATTGACAATGAGGCGGCAGTGGAAGAGGCGCGGCTCCAGGAGCGGGCGACCATGATCAACCAAGCTGCGGTCATATTGACCCTCGCCATTCAAGTCTTCCCAGAAGTCATCGGGTTCGGCTCCCTCCTCGACCTGCTCTACCTCGGCATCGTCCCAGTAGTGAGCGAAGCGCTCCAATGCTGCATTTTTCTCGAAAGTAGAGGCGCCCAAGCCGTTCCAAATGTAGATCTTGTGCGACTTGGCAGAGACGAGGGCAAAGGCATCTCCAGAGGCCAATGACGAACTGTCGGCGGGCACCTCGCTGGCGTGGATATCGCTCTCAACGGTTCCGCGAATGCGGAACAGCTGTGCCGTCACTGGCAGAGCGGTGTAGGAGGCTAGAAGCTTACCCTTGAAGATCTTATAGAAATGACGAGGTTCATGGCCCTGAGTGGTCAGCACAAGAAGAGCGTTCTTCTCAGCGGCGAGGGCAAGACCATCCTGGAAAGCGCGCTCCTTGACGTCGGCGGTGGTTTTAGCTCCTTGCCACACGTAGACAATGGAACCCTGTTCCCCATTGTTGGCCTCGTAGTTGTAAGTGAGAACATAGGAGCCAAAGCCCAGAAGAGGTAGGTTATCCTCGAAGGGAACGGTGTTGACCAGGATCTCACTGGAGCCTGCCTTCGCCACATATTGTGTGATGGTTTCAATAGCGTTTTGGCCATGATCCGGCATAAATCCAATGGCGCGACCGCCGCTCTTCTTTAGCTGAGTCACCACAGCATCAATCTCGTCGACATCAATGGAGTCATCGGATCCCATGGCCAAAGCCGAGCGGATGAGACGAGTGTGCGACATGCCAGCATCACGCCAGGTGGCAAAGTACTGCTTGAACGGAGCGGACTCGGCGCCCTCAACAATTCGGTGGATTTGAGTCCAGGCCGGGTACTTCTTGGTGCGCAAGAACTCCTGTGCCTTAGCCATGGCGTCGGTCTTCTCCTTCTGCGTAGCACCCTTTCCGACCCACACAAAGATGCCAGAGCCAGTGTCCAGAATGAAACAGTCGCGTGTATCGAGCATGGCCTGGGTCAGAGGCTTTTGGCCAATCGTGTCAACCACCAGCTTGCCACTAGCATCGCTGATCTTGTAGAGAGTGACGGCGGCAGCGTCGGTCCTCTCAAAGGCTCCATCCTCCTCGGCCGTCGACTCCTCGGGCACCTGGTCGGCAGAGCCGGATCCAAGCACATCAAAGAACTGCTGCTTATCAGCGTCAGTGCTGAAGTCATCGATGATCTGGACACGGGCACGTCCGTTGTGATCCTGGTCCCTGATCTGGTTAGCAGCACTGATCGCCTTGAGCTTCTCCACGCGCTTGGCCTGGGCACCCACATAGACATAGATATCGTTGCCAGCATCCAAAATGAAGCAATCTCCTTTGTTCATGGACGATACGGATAGGTTCACCTGTCGGACACGAACGTTGCGCTTGCCCTTGACCTGGAAGAGACGCTTCTGTCCCTGAGCGTTAATCTCCACGTGCTTGAAGCCAGTTCCAACTCCACCCTGCTCGTAGCGAACGCCTAAGTGGAGGAATAAATTGATTAATAATTCGTTTAAATAGCTATGACTGATCTTACCATTCTTAAAGTAGCCAAGGAACAACTGAGATTCGTGGTCTTGCACTTCACGATGCTGAACAGGAGCTCCGTTCAACAAGTCATCCAACTGAACGGTGAGAATAGCAGCAGCTCCAGCCTCATCGGTAGAGGTCTCGGATCCCAGCCAGAAATGTACGTCCCAGGAGAGTTTCTTGTCTTTCTTGTTTTCAATTGTCTTCAAAAGGTAAATTAAGAGATATACATATATATTTTTAATGCCATATAAATTATTTAGAAGGTGATCCAGATAAGATTTTTTCGTTTGAAATTTTAATATTAGTAAATCAAAAGTTTTTCAAATATCATAACTAAGCCAAAAATTAATTAATTTCAATTTGGAAACCTTTTCTGATAAAGTATAAAGAATTGATCGCAGAATAAATGAATCTACAAATAAGGGCCTAATGATCTTTGTTATTTAAACATCTGGATGAAACCTTCATTCTGAATTTTGTATGAATCATAACAATCTGTTTCGCCTATATTTCCGGATAAGACGTAAGCACATTTTAATGTCATTTTATAAAGACTATATGATTAATGTTTATTTCCGCTGAAACAATTAGATATTATCATGGATTAAGAGGCTTTTGCAATTGTATTCGTAAAGAAGTATTTTCAACCGCACAAAGAATATTTACATATATCTTCCTAAAGTGTCAACAACCTCCGATATGACATTCTTAATTTTTAGGCAAAATTAGTTAAATATTTAATACTAAAACAATTACTTACATTTAGAATAATAAATGAGTCTCCAGTGTAGAACTTGCCATAGTTATTTTTCGGATAAGCAACGGGTTCGAAGTTCTGGAAAACGTCAAATAAATTATGTGAGAAAATAAGGAATGAATGTTTATTAAATGAGTGTTTGGAAATTCTGTACAATTCGTTCTATTTATATGCACAGTCAAAATATTTGTTCTAGGAAGCGCCTCATGCTTCGCATTAAAAAGTGAGAGCATCCGATCCCCCCAAAGTTCATAAATTTCGTTAATGTCCGAGTTAATTAACCCGAGATGCGATATATACATAACAATATATATAGTACACTTTCCATTTGCGAACATGTGGCAGCCACCCTGCGTGAATTTAGCATAGAAAATGGAAAATCAGCAACTCTGATGGCACGAGCCACGAATGGGGACCATGCTCCACCCGCTTTTCCCGCCGCTGGACGACTGCACGAGCTCTCCTGCAGAGGCAACGCATTCGTGCGTGGGCGATGAAGTCTAGCCAAGCGATGTAAACAAGCGCCAGCTATTTATTTATATACACTCTTCTTTGAACTTGCACAAAAGTGAAATTAAAGCCGAAAATACACTAAATTTACCTCGATACGCCAGATCTCCAGGCCGGGAGATTGGCCAGCATTGGCGAAAGCCGGATGCATAATGCGTCTGCCGGGTTGTTTGCTGTTCTGACCCGAGGGCTGGATCTGGCCGGTTTGAACGGGGAACGCGGGACGAGCGTTGAAGGTGCCGGCTGAGGAAAGACTGGCCGATAGGGTAACCAGTACCAGCAGGCTGAAAGTACGAAAGCATATAGATAAGTCTTATCCGATTATCATTATTTGTTTTCGCCGTTCCCTAATCGAAGGGTTGCAAAAAGCTTACATGGTTGTAAATGGTTTTTATAGCGTTGGGGATGGTTTATTTGCTATAATTCGTTTTGGCAACCTTGAATCCTTTCGATGAAACATATCATTAATGAGATTGGAAATCTCTCTAAAACACTATGGCTCCAAGCTTTGAACCATTTATTAAAGTTAATGTCAAAATATGGCTTCATACACTTTCATCTAGATTTCTGAATCGACAATCACATCCATATATCTCCATAAGTGAAACGCGACCATAAAAGGTCATAAAAAATAGACACACCAAAAATGTCACATGCTTTTAAGGAGAGCCCCAACAATGAGTAACAATTGTACAGTACAAACACATGTATCAATGCAATGTCTATTCTGGAGCTCCCAAAATTATTCCACTTCTAACACGCCTTCTGACAAACTCATTAGCGGCTTTAATTGCCCTGCCAGAGGGTAAACCTCTTACCAACGCACTTACATTTCACAAAACCAGATATTTTTACTGACGGTTGGCGTGTGCGTCAGCTTCTACCACTATTGTTTACACTTTTTTTAACCGACTCGGAGAAAATCTTGGGAACTTTAATGAAGCTTCTGGACAGCGAACTGCTCGCTTGCATTACCTTATGATGACTGCCATGGTGGCGTCGTCTGGCGCTGCCTTTTCGCGATTCTCTTTCTCGTGTCGTCGGCGGCGGCGCGGTGGTGTCGGAGGCGGGGAGATCCCCGAGAGCTTTGTTTATTGTTGCGATAAATATAAATATGCGTATATAGTGTGCGCTTTCATATACTCTATATGTAGGTTTGTATTCTGCTTTTGTTTTTATCGCACTGTTTGTTGTTCGGGCCAAACAGAGATGATTGTTCCAGCTGATCCCAGTGACGAGTGTTTGAACTGGAAATAATAAGGTAATTGTTTTATTAGTTAGATAGTTTAAATAGATTTATACGTTTCTTACTAAATTGGCCTATTTATGATCTCGTCGATAATGGAACAAAATCAAGTTCAAAAGATATGAGAGAATGCCGCCTATGAGATACCCGGAACATAACGCTTTGTTCAATTTATGAAGAATAAAAAACAATGCAATTATTTGCAGGATTTTTAACCTAATGTTTGGAAAAGGACGAATCATTTGAGCCGTGTGCGATAACCATATCGTTATACCTATATTGTCTTTTTTAACCTGTGTTTATTATCCAACTGCTTTTAGATAGGGTCAGTAATAATAATCAATAACGTATAGTTTATGTGATCTTAGATGCCTTTTTCATACATACATACATTCATAACATACATATAAGATTGTTTTTATACTATAATACCCCTGGACACGATATAACAACTGTTTTTCACCATCGACAGAAACCTAAAACTAGTTAAAAGTTAGATGAATAAGGTATACGTAGTAGTCATACCAATATTGGATAAAATTAAAACTAAGGAAAAATCATTAAAAATAATTATTTATAGTGAGCAAGACTTGTTTGTCCTAATTTTTAAGATATTAAATACCCTTTACATTTGATATAAAAAATTTGCTATAAGAAAAAAAGTTACCTTTCTTTTTTAACCAATAACAGCAACATATATGTTTACATAAGCATGTATTCGTATATACGTGAGCATATATTTACGTTTCATGTTGAAAAGTTATAATCCCATCTGATATGATATCACTTTTATATCAACAATGTAAAATCTGATTTTGGGATAGTGTAAGGCCACCTGTCGAAGCTGTGAACCAAATGTCAGCACGCATGCTTTTACAAACTGCTTTTCAGATAATTAGTTTTGCGACATTGCGACTTGACTCATCTGGGATGATATCATGATTGCCAAGGCCAAATGGGAAGTTCGTGCAGGTCTTTTTTGCCAAAAGGTATAACCCAAAAAAATATAGGCCTTGTTCCCGTTACCCTAATGCCATTAAAAAACGTGTATTCCTTAAAAGTATAAACGTGAAAGTATGTTCCTAATCCGAATCTTAAACTAAAGATATAAGGGTAAACTAGTACAATAGTTCCTATGTCAGCTTTAGACTATAACCGAACAATTCTCTAGATTATTAAACTTGAACTAGATACATATGTACATGCACCCGAAGGCAAGAGTTCTGAGTTAATAACTTGTAAACTTTCATAAAAACTGGCAGTGATGCTGATCAAGATTTTATAGCATTTGCTCCTTTAATGCTTTGCAAACTTGTGAATAAAATTTAAATTCCCTACTAAGGTATAGAAAGTATTTGGAAACGGGAACAGGGCTGTTTATTTTATTTCAACCGAACGTGTACATATGTACAATGTTCGTATTTGCCTTTTTTGAGATCACGATTCTCCCCAGGCAGTACTCATAAATATTATCAACGGGTTTCGAATATCAATTATGTTTATTTATGTGTACCTATGTATGCTTTTGTGTATTTATGCCCAAACAAATATTGTTGTTAACGCAAACCAGCTCATCAGGCTCATCAATCACAATTAATAGGAAGTTTGAGGTGTCACAAAAAGTTTAAAAGTAATTTAGAACCAGATTAGTTAGTTTTTAAAAAATGTTTAGAATTAGAGAATAATTATTAATACATTTTCTATTGAATATTTTTTATTTAAAAAAAAGAAATAATCTTTAATTTAATGGCTTAAGCTTTGACCGAAACTAGGAAAAGCCGCCAGAAAGTACGCAATAATTTAAGAATATGTTTTTTATATATTTACTATACATACACAAGTCTTTCCTAATCAAACGGTTTAACCTTAGTTCAGTGTTTACTTAAGCTTCAGCCTCTAGTTGATAAGATGAGCTCATTAATCTTTATACGTTTGTGCTGACCATCAACAGTAGCGATTTGTAAATACTTGCATTTTCATTTTTGTAATCAGACTAATTCTGTACGTAGTCTGGTTTGTTTTTGTTCCCCTTTACTTAAGAATTTGCCCTAACATACAAGTATTTTAGCTAATCTGATCAAAGACTATAAAATGTTTAATTAGCCCCTAAGGAAAGACAATTGAACACTTACCGTAGAATAGATAAACACGATCACCGCAGTTTCAAACAATCGGAAGGGGAACTGTGAGAGCGAGGTGTGAACAACTGGTATCTGCTCGAGACACTGAAGGAAAGGCAAAGCTCGTCTTTGCTTTTATAAAAGTCCGCTCAGAGGCAAGTCGCGCTCACGGCGTAAGACAGCCCGCTCTCCGGGGTCGTATGTAGATTATTGATAAGCCAAAGCTCTGGGCGATAAGCAACACAAGCTCAAACAGTAAACAAAGTGAAAACAATTTTTTAGAAAATTCCCAGAATTCAGGTTGAAAGTCTCCTTTTGTTATACTTATGTATGTAAATATATACGTAAGTAAGTAGTCTATTTAATCCCTTTGTCAAATAATATACAATTTCCTTATAATTATGTAATTGGTGGACATAGATTAGTAATCGGCCGCAGTATTCGACAGATAGTCGCGGCGACCGATGTTTGAAGCCTGTTTGTTTTGCACGGCCTCCAGCTTGGGGCACTCGGTGATCCGATGGCCCAAGCCACCGCAGTAGGTGCAGCCATGTGAGTCGCCCAGATCCAGGTGCTGGTGCTCCGCCTCTGGTGCCAATTCGTCCAAGAAATCGGGCACCTGTTGCTTGGCCTCGATAAGCAAGTGTTTCAGATCCAGCAGAACGGACTGTTCAGTGATCTTGTTAATAAGCGTGGTAGCTAAGCCTTTGGTGTTGGACCGACCTGTACGGCCAATCCGATGCACATAATTCTCAATATCATCCGGCATGTCGTAGTTTATAACGTGCTGTACGTTGGGAAAGTCCAGACCCTTGGAGGCCACATCTGTAGCCACCAACACGTCCTTCTTGCCCACACGATACGCGTCAACTGCTCGCGACCGTTCCTCCTGATCCTTTCCACCATGAATGGCGACCGCCTCCACGCCCTTCAGAAGCAGATACTCATGTATGCAATCCACATCCTGCTTTTTCTCGGCAAAGATCAGCACGGGTGGTGCTGTCTTCTGCAGACAGTCCAGCAGATATACCACTTTAGCCTCTTGCTTCACGTACTCAACCTGCTGAGTGACGTTCATGGACGCTGCTCCGGCGCGACCAACATTTATGGTAACTGGCTTCACGAGCGCCGAGCGAGCAAAGTTTTGAATCTTTTTCGGCATGGTTGCAGAGAAGAGCAGCGTCTGTCGTTGGCCCTTAAAAAATGAGAATATTGTGCGCACGTCCTCCTCGAATCCCATGTCAATCATCCTGTCAGCTTCATCCATGCACAGGTACCGGCACATGTCCAACGTCAGGATCTTTTTATCTAGCATGTCCATGAGGCGTCCTGGCGTGGCCACAATGATGTGCACTCCTTTGGATATCACGTCCAATGCCTCGCTTACTGGCAATCCACCCATTGCCAAACAGGAACGCACCTCAGGCATGCCGCATGCCTGCAAGTGCTTGCTGTAGTGTTGTATAATCTCGTGCGTCTGCTTAGCGAGCTCCCGAGATGGACAAATGATCAACCCGTATGGGCCCTCATTGCGTTCAAAAGGCAAGCTGTATTCTTGCTCTAGAGCAAACATCACCACGGGCAGCACAAAGACCAATGTTTTTCCAGACCCAGTAAAGGCTATGCCAATTAGATCGCGGCCCGCAAGCACAGTGGGCAAACCTTGGATCTGAATAGGTGTTGGAGTCTTTATGCCTTTCGCAGCGAGACCGTTTAATATGCCTTTAGGAAACTTCATCTCTCGAAAACTGCGGATAGGTGGACTAGGATTCTCTCCCTCAACGAGGATTCTCAGCTGCTGGCGGATAAGTTGACGCTCCTCTTCTGGCATGGCTTCAATGTACCTAGGCGGACGCCAGGAGGTCTTTATAGGCTCCTCGTACTGAATGCCTTTCGCTAACTCCGCCACGCCCATCAGGGCCTTTTGCTGGGCAATGCTTTCCATTATCTTCTCCTCCTCGCGAAGCTGCTTTTCCACAGCACTTAGTTTCTTGGCCTCCGCAATTTTCTTAAGTTCAGTGTGTTGATCCAGCAGACTGATGTTATATTTCCGGCCATAGGTCTCTGCATCGTGGGTTCCCTGGTAGTCATCATCGTTTTCATTTTCGCTGGATGACTTGGGCTGCGTTGTCTCCGAAGCTAGTTGGACGATTCGACCCAGTTTCACCATGTGCTGCTTTTTCCGTTCCTTCACCGGGACGTAGGGCACGTAATCGTCGTCCTGATCCCCGTCATCGGAGGACTTTGAAGATCTACGGTATCGCTTTACTTGAGACATATCAGTCAATCGTCTAAATAGTTTTGAATTTCATGCAATTGTAAACAAAACTTCTTTGATAGTGACGACACGGAAACATCGATTGCTCAATAAAAACTTCGATGATTTAGAAAATTCGAAAAACATCAACTTTTTGCGCATCTCTATTTTGCACATCGATACAATCAGGATCAATTTTTGCCTTCGGTCATACTGTTTTCAATTCACCCGCTAAATTCTGTTAACTCCCTTTTTTATTTCACCGCCACTTCTCTGTTAACCTCTCTTATTTTTTTAAATTCCCCCGCATTCTCTGTTAACCCTCTCAATTTTTTAATTCCCCCACAAAATTCTGTTCTCTTGTGTGATTGGTCAAAAAACATCGATGATTCAAAAATACCAATCGATGTTTTGCGCACCTCTAACGCATGGTGTTTTTAAGGCGTTTTCGCACGGTCACACTCCTTTTCACTTTAGCGAGGCGAAATCTGTCACATTTTTGACAAAATTGTAAGTTTATAGAAATTCCAGTGCCAAATTCAACCACAACATCGATCCACTCCTAGTCCAGTCGGTGATTAACGGTTTAACATTGCACTTTAGCAACGGCGAGACCCCGCAGACAGCAGACAGCTAAAACAACAGCAGCAAGATGCCCAAGAATAAAGGAAAAGGTGGCAAGAACCGTCGTCGTGGTAAGAACGAGAACGAGTTCGAGAAGCGTGAGCTGATCTTCAAGGAGGACCAACAGGAGTACGCGCAGGTGACCAAGATGCTGGGCAACGGTCGGCTGGAGGCAATGTGCTTTGATGGCGTCAAACGCCTGTGTCACATTCGGGGGAAACTTCGCAAGAAGGTGAGTGTGTGGAGCTCTGCTCTCTTTACCTATCGCCACTCTCTTAGCGCTCGCTCTCTTCTTGGGGTGTTTGCTCTTTTAGCATTGATTGCCAGCGAATGCGACGTATTTATATTTATTTATTTATTTGTTGTGTGCAAAATGCAAGTACGTACAATGGCAGTTTGTGTGTGCGTTTGTGGGTTTTTGGGGGTCTTTTGCAAGTGCTTAGCTAATTCGCATTTTATATCATCAATGATAGTCATTTGATTTACCTTTCCATCGTGGGCTTTCCATTGGTCCATTGTGCGTGGGAGTCATTGTCCTAGCTTCAGTACACAGACAAAGGAGAGCACGAAATTCTCTTTTATGATTGATTCATAATACATATGTGCTTATTTATGTAAATGCCTTGCAAATAATGAGCATTGCGAATCAAATAATTTGTTTATGGCCAATTTAATCTTTCTTAAATGGTCCCTTAATTGTGTGTGTTAGTTATAGTATATCTAAGAGTTATATGGGGATAATTTATTTCATTAAGATGTAATGTTCTCTTCCTCCCATTTTAAATTGCAATAGTTGCAATAAATACATACATTGTAAATTTGCAAGTTCTGTATTATAATATTCAATATTCTCTTTATATTTATAATATTCAAGGGCAACCTTTATTCGATCTCTTTTCTAATAAACAATCTGCACATATTTCCCTGCAGCCCATATCTTCTTCGCATACACACTATTTATTGTGTGTATACGCCTGCATTTTAATGACAACTTCAGTTACCTGATAACTACTGCGAAAATCCCCCGGGCAAGTTAATAAAAATAGGTCTGCAGTTGCAGTTTTGTCCGCTTATCGCTTCTACCTGCCTTGGCCTTGGTCGTGGTCGAGGTAATGGTTCTATCCGAATACAGATTAGATCGTGCTTCCTCAGAAAGGTATGAGCACATGTCAAATTTTGGTTGGTGCTTCACAACCAGCCCCGCAGGAGACGCGCGTCATAAATAAGATCTTCGATTGGCTACGTCAAGACTCTCAGCGTAACTGGTGACGTCTTCCAAGGCTGGCTGTCAAGTAAATATACAAGACAAGAAATTGAGTACAATCACATATCGGGGAAATCAAAACAAGATGCTATAAATAAGAGAACGTAACCGAAAACTGAATGGGGAAGAACATGTTCCAGGCTAATTGCTAGACACAGTCACAGTTCACGTAAATGCAAATAAACCGATCGAAGTCATGAACAAAGATAGTGATCAATATTTGCACTTTGAATTCCAATGAAAATGGAGGTTTGTGCGTTTCTTTAATATCTTAATGCATTTTATGCAATCCAAATAACCGAATGATGAAATTTCCTTTAAAAATCACACTATTTTTAGACAAGATTACATTATTTTGATATTTGCTATGTGTAATTTCTATAAAGCCAAGAGAAAGAGTTTCAGTACCAATCGCTAGAAGCACGCGAATGAAGAAAAACCCATTCAACATCCTGACTTGACAAATAATTCTTGGATTGAATTTCGGACAGAGGGCTGCCTTTGGTATCAGCATTTATCTAATCTTTTGCTAAAACTCTAGCCCAAGACATTGCCACGGACACGTTTTATATTGCGACGCAATTTTCCGATTTCTAATTTGCGATTTAAATCTCCATTAAAGGGAATGTTAATCTCACTTGATACCACCACAACGACTGAGGATTACTTTGTTATATAAGTTGTGGGAGTTAGGTGGGGATGCGCTCTGTCCAGGTGGTCTAATTACCATTCAATTAATTCCCTAATATCTCAAGTAGTTTGCCTCTGGAATTTATTGGTTGATTTATGGTTCGTACTTCAGAAGATATACAACAACTTGAACATTTCCAGTTTGAATTTCCCCGAAAAGAAGTGTGCTTTACCTTGAATTTATCTGTAGAAGTAATTAACCAGGAAGCATAAGTAAATTCCTAGTGAATATAAATAATGTTGACATAATACGCATTTGAAAAACCAGTGGTTATTAATTATTCTCTTTTTCTATCTGAAAATCAAATTTGATTACTTTTATTCGCTATCTTTAGCCTAGAAAAGCCATAATAATTGATGTGATTATTGCACACTATTTGAATACCCCATGGTCTCCTTGTAGGGGTTCACCCGCGCTATCTTGGGGTCATCTGTCAAATTGAATAATTGATAATTCCTGGAAACGCGGAATTACAACTTTCCGCCTGCCCAATTACTCAGTTCTTCTGAGGGCTCAAAGTGCAACTGTTGGACGGACGACTTCGACTTCAACGAGCTCGCCGAGAGATGTCTAGAGTCTAGACCCAGTTTTCGGTGGCAGTAAACAAGAGAAGTGCCATAATTTCGCACATGTCCGTCCCCTCAAATGTCAGTCAATCATCCAGAAGTCAGCTGATGGCCCCAATTTAGCGCGCTTTACGAGCACCCTGCTAATCTATTCCCAGATCCTAATCTTCTGACATGCTCTGGCATGCGTTCTCTCCATTCCCTTTTTCGGCCAGACGTGGTGCTCGTCGGGAGCATGACTAATGCGTGGAGAGGCGCCAGCGGATTGTGTGTGTTTGTGCTTGCCACCCCCTCTAAACTTCTCCAGTTCCGCACCCAGCAACAGGCAACGGACTGGACTCTTATCTTCATTGGCTTATTTCACAATTAGCTTCTACTTGGGCCAAATGGAGGCATGGGCGAAAGGCTTCTCCTTTCAATTAAATCTGCGCAATTTACTTAAATCCCCAATTTAAGTGGAGCATACCCCAATTAGGCAGTTATATTTAGACCAGGAAAGCAAGGTAGTCTTTGCATTTCCGTAAACCCGTTGCTACTATTCTATTTTCGTTCATATTTGCTTAGTAAGATTAGCTAAAAATAATAAGACAGTTTTAGGATTTTTTCTTTTTAGGTATTCAAAATTTTAATAATGTTTTTGTTTGCTTAAACTACAACTTAAATAACTAGAATCAGAGGCAGTATACAATGGTATATTTGTTCGTCTTAATCGCCTAGTGAGATTATCTAGAGAATCTACATATTTTTCTTTGGGATTTTTGCATCTTTTGTATTTTTTTTGTTTTACTTTTTCGATATCTTTACATTCGAGCTCATTTGCGTGGGTTCATCCATCTCTCCTTCCGCTGATCATCTTACATGATCTGGGTGGCTGTGCTGATGACCTGGTTGATCCAGTCCGTAAATGCCGATACTCGGACAAAGACCGAGGGCGCATTCTTCTGGCCGCAGGGCATCTTGCCCCAGGACACAATGCCGATGACAATGTTGGCCTGCTCGAATTGCTCCTCGCAGCACTGCTGGATCAGTGGTCCTCCGGAGTCGGCGGTGCAGATACTAACGCCACCGGTCAAGGGACCCGTGCACAGGTTCGTCTCGTGCAGCTGAAGTCCGGAGCGGGCGAGGATTTGCTCGCACAGCTCCATGTCTAGGATGGGCATGTTAGCCTCCTGCAGTCGATGCGGATAATTGGGAACAGCCGTCATCGAGACGTTGCCCCAACCGTACAGGGTTCCGTAGCCATCGGGCTGAGCATCCTGCTCCGGCAGCGTCGCTGGCTGGACGTAGGTGTCAAAGGCCAGTGGCTCTTTGGTGTAGATCAGGGCGATGTCGTAGGGATTCACTCCGCCGAGGTAGAGCTCGTGGCGTACGTAGTAGTCGATGTGTCGCATCTGAATGTTGGCTGCCTCTCCCCTTTGGTCGTGAATGTCGTGGCTGCCCGCCACAATCACCGAGTTCTCCACGGTCTGTGGCGAACTGAGGCAGTGGGCTGCCGTCAGGATCCAGTGCTCGTTAATGATAGTCCCTGCACAGTAGTGAACCAGGCCCTGGTCGGGTGTCATCATCTGGATGCTGACCACATAGGGAGCCGAATGGGGAGTGGCCTCCCGCTTGGCCAGGAACTTCTTGCTCCAGTGCGTCTGTCGCGGTGCTTCCAGAGTGCTAATCCGGTTCTCGAGCAGCCCGTAGGCCGCCAAGTTCATGGCCATGGTATGGGCTGCTCCAGTGCCGCCGCCACTGCACTTGCGGACGGTGGGCAGCTGCATGGAGCCGGATGAGGCGGAACTGAGCACCACCATAATGCTGGCTATGGTGGTCAGCAGGACCGAGTAGATGCATCGGTAGGATAAAAGCATGATGTCCTCGCTCTGGTAGCACGCGCCGCACGAACCAGTTGAGTAGTAGTAAGTAATTTTGACGGTTTTTGGTGTTGGTCGGCGCGACTCGGGTTTGATTCGGTCGCGACTGTGTTTAGCTTTTCGCCCTTGCTTTGGCGTGTCGATAGCACTTCACTTGTATTCCGCTTCGCTTTGGCATGGAATTCACTTTTGCGGCCCGATTTTGCCGTATTTCTTATTTGAGGTGTCTCTTGCTTGGTGCCGGTTTTGAATTTGCCCGATGCCTACGAGTGGGGCTGTATTTATAGGGAAGTCTCTCCGGAGAGAGGCCCCCACCATTGGTGGCTCCTTATCGTCAAGAAAGCGTTTGGGAGGTGGGTTCTCCATTACCCATTATCGTTTGCTATCAGTGACGAGTCGCGAGATAGCGAAAATTCGGCGAGTGCCAATCGGTTTACTAAGGTTCTGTCTTGCCCGCGGAATGCCCTATCCCTTCGAGAGATGACTCTCTAATCGGTCGTAATCTTCACTAGCTTGGCTCTCTATTATGTAAGACCAGTGCGTATTCTTTGATAAGAAAAGCGTGGCAAGCAAATACTAATTTCTATCTACCATTGGGGAAATTCATGCTGGCCATAATAACATAATTGTGCGAAATCATTTAAATACTTTTTATAAAATATTCCATTTCTGGAACATGTTACAGGTATATAACCATTTATGACGCACTGAATTCCAGTCGAATTATGCCGAATTATGGTTTAACCCACTAAAAACCATATCTATTGTGAATCAGCGTATAAAAGTTTATAATTTTATAACGTGAAGGCTCAGAATGAATCGGATTTAAAGCAATTTCCAGATACATATACATATAAGAGATTAGGAAACAATGTTTATTTAAACGGATTTTGCCTTCCTCTAATATCTAGGTAAAAATGTCTTAAAATTTATTAAAAACCAGTGCAAACCAGTGTGAAAATTGGCCGATAAGAATCGGAAGTTCAATGATGTCTATAGCTATATATAGGAAAATATCGAGACCTGCTGCCTCGAATACCAAACCCCTGACGAGGCAAACACACACTCGTTCACTTACTCATTGGCACACCACATTGCAATCAATCGAGGAACCGGGGGCTTCCCGGCCAGCTGGCTTGGCTGGGGACTGTGTGTGCCCATCCAGCCGATTGGTTCCCTTATCTCCTGGGGATCGTAATAGGGCAATTTCGATTCAATTTAGTCACGATTCTTTGCATTGGCATGATCTATCGTGTTTGGTTTTTTTTCTCGCCCAAGGGAATACTCTACGGAACAGATAGTGATGGCTCGACGCCATCCATTTCGTTTATAATGGATGATAAATACTCCAAAGTTCGTGCAGGACCCAAACATTGGCGGTTTATTTCTAGCGGGCGTACGTAATGTGGGAATTATTCGCGCGCGGCTACTGTCGTCGCACCGATTCCGTTTAATTTATTTTAAAGCCCACCACTCTCAGGTTGGTATCGTCGCTTATCGATCCGGACGTGGTCAGAGGAGCATATATACATATATATATGTGTCATTCTAGGCTTTGGAATTTATATGGCATCTACTTGGTCGTAGTACTCACTACTGACAGGAAGTATTAGAGGAAAGGAAGTGAATTTATGAATGGAATGGAATGCATTGAATCACTCGTCGAGTGCAGTTTGTCCCAGGTCGTTGACATTCCCGTTGATTGAGTTGAGTACATCAGCCCTTGGGCTTCCGCCTGCTCCTCCTCAAGATAGGTACTCGATCTTCCCTTGACGTCATCACAAATGGGGAAATCTCGAATCTGTTGTCGGGCCTCCTGCGTAATTCGCATCTGATTAGGGATATGTTTGCTCAACAAGCTTGTTTGTGCGTGATTGAGGCTGAGATATAACCAAGCACCGAATTTCGGTTAGCTCGTGATTGGCTTTGAGATATCGCAAAGAAGGTCGTTATCACATCAGTAGCGAAATTCTCCGTCTTTCGTGGAATTAACCACTGCCCATTCAAGTCACAAGCTATCTCCGCTATGTGACTTTTAACGCATTTTGGGGCGTGTTCTGGTCTAATCTGAATTCCTGCACCGCCAATTCTTCATTTATCAAGTGACCAAGTTATACTTCAAGTGTGTTGATTGTGGTCCGTGAGAAGTTAATTATTCCGCCGCTCACGTGAGCTCCTCCTTCTCCCTTTCAGCATTGCCTTGTGAAATTGCCTCCAAGACAATGACCATCGATTTGCTCCCTTTCTTAAATATTTACTTTTCGTATTGAATCGAACATTCTTGTTTGACAAGGTCAGTTTGCGAGTATAGCACAATCGTTGCGCACGTTTGTGAAATTCCCCAGAACCGAGGAGGAGTCGAGTAGATCAGTTATCTTTTATCTACTATCTGTGTTACACGGAATACAAGCTGCAGAATTCATGTTTGCTTTCCCCAAGAAGAATTACTCACAACGCAAAGAGAGACGTGGTCTTTCCCAAAAAAACGTTGAAGATAACACTGTTTGTGCTTTTCTTTCAGGTATGGATTAACCAGGGCGACATCATATTGGTCGGATTGCGTGACTACCAGGACTCGAAGGCGGACGTCATATTGAAGTACACACCGGACGAGGCCAGGAATCTGAAAACGTACGGCGAGTTCCCCGAATCGGTGCGCATCAACGAGACAGTCACATTCGTGGAGGATGGCTTCGACGAGGACATCGAGTTCGGCGACGAGATCAGCTCGGAGGACGATGCTGATTCCGTTGACAACATCTGATTAACAAGAAACAAGGTGACGTCGGCAGGGACGGCGGCAGCAGCAGCACCAGCAGCAGAGTCACTTCGAGAATAGGGAATTTAACAAATTGTAAAAAGCAGAAGCAGCAAGTAGACCGCATCCCGTTTGAGAGATCCAAGCAAGCAGACTATCCAACCAATAAATTAATCCAATCCCCAGAATGGCGGCGGCGGCGGAGAGAGAAGCAACAGAAACCAAAACGGATGGCGATCATACTATCTGTATTTAGTTAGTTAGTTTGAAGCCACTTTCACGTTCAATATTCTATTAAATTTCTCGAAGCTTTTATTATTCAAGTAAAGTAAGTTTAAAAATTCAAATGATTTACGGCCGCCTTTAATCAACAAAGAACAACAACAAATTGTGTAAAACAAATAGTGAAACTGTTAAGCAGAGCAAAACAATGCAGCTTTTCCCTTAAAATTATTAAATTAAAAAAAAGAGAAAAACAAGCGGATATTAGTTATTATTTTACCCAAACGAAAACATTAATTAACAATGAAAAAAATACCGAACTTAAGTAAACTTACAGCTCATATAAATATGTAATAGGAGTTTAGCAAACAAGAACACTAATATCTAAGGAAATAGATGAACAAGAGTATGAACAAGGAGGAGGTTAGGGAGTTTCAATTGTAGCTAGCGAGTAAGCAAAATCAATCCATGAGTTTTCACCAGAGGAATCTGGTCTACATCCACGCCCCCGAAGTGTTCCTTCCCAGCATTTCGTCTCACGTTTTGTTTTTCTTATACATAAACTTGTTTTTATTTTGATGGTTGGTTCTTCATAGCGACATCTCATATTCCAAAATCCCCCCTTTTGTTTTTTGCTGTCCATGCATTCAGTGTTCTCTCTATTTTAGTTGTAATCGAATTCGAACCGAGCGAGATGAATGTGTAAAAAGTACCAAGACTATTATTGATTTTTGTAATTAGTTGAACTCCAAATAAATGGCGTTATTTAACCCGAATGCAAAACAGCAAAGACCCCAAGTCGTTTTCACTTGTTCTACTGCGCAAATCCACAGGAGAGTCATAGTTACAATTCAAGCTACAGTTTATTTGTTAAATGCAGAGTAATTCGAACATTTCATTTGGCAATGTCGACACACTTCTTAGAGCTCCTCGTGCCGTGAGGGGAACTTCTTGAGAATGGCATGGTAGAGGTTGTAGAATGCGTACACTGAAACCGTGATGATCACCAGCAGGGCTCCTCCAAAGGCAATGCTTAGGAAGTTGCCATCGATGATGCCCGCCGATCTGTGGCGCTTGGTGGAGAATATCTCCTCCGTGGTGGCGGGATTGTTCTGTTGCTGGGCCGTCCGCTCGGCCATTAGCCGCTTCATGGTGCTGAGGCGTTCCCGCAACACCTCCACGGATTCCGAGTCCAGATCTGAAGTTCCTGCAGCAAATTTTCGGAATGTTTATGGCATGGTCAAAGAAATAAAGCAATAAATTATTTACCAGTTGACTGGGAGGCGGAAGCACTGGGATATGCAGACATTTTTATCTTTTGTTATTAACTATTCAATTATATTTGTGCAAGTGCCACAGATGAAACTGAGTGTGTTATGTGGTTTTGGGGTGGGTTCTCATACATGTTCAAATTTCCAAAAGCGGCGCATGCGCTTCACGAAAATAAAATAAATGTTAAGGGTATTCCTTTTACAAAGGAAAAATAAATTCATAAAATTTAAATCTTTAACTTGGAGTTCCTGGTTTGAAAACAGACAGACCCAGTCTCTTATTTTAGTTTCATTAATATATTACTTTAAAGTAATAAAGATAAAAGACAATTGATTTAATGGCGTTCTCAAAATTTTGTTATTAATTTCAGTTTTTACAACATTCCATTAAAAAAAATAATAAAACCAGTATCTGAAGTTAAAGTCCAGCCGCTTTTTTGATAATCTGGCCTAGAATCTCCACAACGGGAGGAAGTACTAACCACCAGAATCCTTGAGCAGGCACTTCTTCCACCAAAGGTTGCTTGGCCCTTTCCTCCTTGTATTGTCGTAACGCATCATTGGCTTTTTGTCGCTCCTCGGGAGTCAACTGAAGACGATCGCCATACTTCTCAAAGAAGGTAATTAGCTCAGGTACATTATTAAACCTGGTGAATTGGGTAACCGAATCACTTCCGTAGATGTTCTTCAAACGTGTCAATTCGGAATTGAATCTTTGGTCACCCTCCGATGGGGCTGCACTTGCTGTCCACGCAAGGCTCCCGACAAGGACCACCAGACAGCTGAGAAGAAAGGATCCAAAAGGACTTTAGGATGTGACATTCGAGTATAGAAACTTTCTAGCTTACCTCAAGTATAGTGTTGGATTCATCTTGTTGCTGAACTTATCGATTTGATTTAAAGTCAAGACTGATGACTGATCAGGCGAATTGTTCCCTATTTATAGAAGCCTCTGGCTCTTATATTGGCACTGGGGTTAAAGGTCATACCAATTTAAAAATATTTCAAAGAATTTCATCAATGTAATGTCAAAATTCGAGGAATTAAGATTATTTCCTTATTTATGTGCAACATAATATATACTTATACTACTATGACTTTTGAAATATATTTTAATTGGTCAATAAATTAATCAGCGATGCTTTAAAAACAACGAACTTTTATATATATATATCAAATAAGTAAGCTTCTCTTTGTTAGTTTATATAAGATTAATAAATTAGCTTAAATAATTTAAATTAAAAAAAAAACAATTTTGTCATTATTTAATCATTTTAAAATTATAACTACGCTTATTGCATACAACAAAACACATTTTTATTAAAATAATATTGTACAACAAATTAGATTTAGGACAAACAGTAAGCATCATTTGACGAAAAGTGCACGAAAATACTGTTACTCAGTTTAGCAATGTTTTCAACTACTTGTATAATTCTTATCCCACTTTTCTCACCTTTGTCGACCACTTACACACGTGTAAAATACTGAAGTTATTACAAAACTGCCTTGATAATGACGGCATAGAAACATCGATGGTTGCAAAACATCGATGATTTAGATGGATCGATGTTTTGCGCATCTCTATCCATAAACACGTGAAACGCGCTCTGTTGTTTTTTAATTTTTATTATTTAAATGCTGCAAAATGGGATTAACTAAACAATATTTGGCTTATCGGGCTATAGATAGCTTTAATATAATCTCGTCCGGACGTGCCAATGTGAACTTTGCCATTGTCGACAAGACGGAGGGTAGATATGTGGTCGCTCCAGCTGCCGAGAATGTGATCGTTTGGGACCTGCGGTGAGTTTTGAGCACGTTCTATTCAATTAAATTACTTTAAGCAGTGAATTTATTTCAGAATGGGCGATCGAAAGCTGACCCTGCGCCGCGAGAAGTTCGAGGTCACCTGCTTGCGTGTGTCTCCGGATCATCTGCACATTGCCGTGGGTTATGCGGACGGCATGGTTCAGATCTTCGACCTTAGTTCGGAAAGATACTACGAAGCCATCTGCTCTCTGGCGCTGCACAAGAACGCTGTAAGCATTCTGCGGTACGATTTGCAAGGCATGCGCTTGATCAGCGGTGGCCTAGACACAGAACTACTGGTCGTTGACGTCGTGGAGCAGGCGGGCAGGGCTCGTCTTAGCGGACACAATGCTGCCATTACGGACGCTCACTTTCTGCAGCGCCTGGTGGATGAAAACATCGTGGTGAGCTGCTCGAAGGACACACAGATTAAGTTCTGGAACTTGGAGACGCAGTTCTGCTTCAAGACCATTGTGGACAACCGCACTGAGGTGTGGGCTCTGGCCTTTATCGGTGATTTGATGGTGGCAGGTGCCGGAGAGAGCGGCATGAATGTATACCGCCTGAGGAAGCAGGAAGGAGCAGCGATAACCGAGACCTTGGAATCGGCCGTCGAGGGTTTGTCCATAGACGACGAGGACACGATAAGTCCGATTAGCGTGAGCAACTGCGGAACCATACAGCGAGCTGGCAAGGGACGCACCGTCAACCTGGTGACTGATCCCAGCGAGCGGGTACTTAGCTGCCATGGCACCAACGATCTAATTGAGAACTTCTACATTTGCACCGCGGAGGAGGTAAAAAAGCGACTCAGCAAGCGCTTGAAGAAGGAAAAGAAGACCGCCGAGGAAACCGGCTCTAATGATGCTGCGAAACTCTCCACGGAGCAGTCTTTAAGCGACGAAATCAAGCGGTTGGAGAGCATTCGTGCCAAGCAGAAGATCAAGTCCATCGATGTGGTCTTGGGACAGAACCAGGAGCTACGTGTACTAGTCAGTCTGGCCAACAACAGTTTGGATCTGTACTCGCTGGAGGCTTCTATTAAGACGCGCAAGGCAGCCGATCCCAGCGTAAAACTTCTGAGGTCACTTACCCGTCTGGGTCACCAGTCCGAGGTGCGATCCGTGTGCTTTAGCAACGATTCTCTGGCCGTTGGCTCGGGTGCCGCCGAATCTTTTAAGTTCTGGGACCGCGATGCCATGCAGTGTCTACGCACAGTACCGACAGATTACATCCTCTGCTCAAAGTTTGTACCCGGCGATCACTACGTGCTGCTGGGCATGAAGAGCGGCAAACTGTTAATTGTAGATGTGGCAGCGGCCGACGTTGTGGAAGAGATTCCGGCCCACGAAAGCGAGCTGTGGTCCATTGCCCTGCTGCCCGATCAGAAGGGATGCGTCACCGGCAGCGGGGATACCACCGTAAAAATCTGGACATTCGAGCTAATCGATTCGGGTGATGATGGCGCTCAGACGAAGGTGCTGTCCCTACTGCACAAGAACACGCTGAAGCTGGAGGAGACCGTGCTCTGTGTGGGCGTCAGTCCGGACATGAAGTATCTGGCCGTGGGCCTGCTTGATGCTACCGTCAAGGTATTCTTTTTAGACACCTTCAAGTTCTACCTGTCTCTGTACGGCCACAAGCTGTCTGTACTCTGCCTGGATATATCCTACGACTCTAATCTGATCGTGACCGGATCGGCGGATCGCAATGTAAAGGTGTGGGGCCTCAACTTCGGCGACTGCCATCGCTCCATCTTCGCCCATGACGACTCGGTGATGAGCGTGCAGTTTATACCGAGGACCCATATGTTCTTCACCTGCGGAAAGGACGGCAAAGTGAAGCAGTGGGATGGCGACTCCTTCGAGAAGATTATCACACTGCCGGGCCACATAGGTGAGGCGTATTGCCTGTCTGTGTCGCCGAACGGCCGGTATCTAGTCACCTGCGGCTCCGATCGGACACTGAGGATGTACGAGCGCACGGACGAGACGATTGTACTGAAGGATGTTCAGGAGGAGGAACGCGAGCAAATGGAGAACGAGCAACTGGCCACAGGAGAGGATAATGCGGTGGCCTTGCTCCCCGGTCTCAAGATGCCCTCCCGCAAGACGGTGGGCTCGGAGCAGTCCGCTGAATCCATTCTCGAGTGTCTGGAAATATCAAAGCAGTTCGAGCTGGAGTCGGAAGAGAAGCCGGAGCTGCATCCCCTCATGCAAGCACTGCAGGTGAAGAATCCAGTCGACTTTCTGGTCAGCACACTTATGCGGATACGAGCCTCCGACCTGGAGGAGGCGCTTCTGCTCCTGCCCTTTTCCTCTGTGTGTGAAGTGCTAGAGCGCTTGCCCACCCTGCTGACCCAGCGACCCGACCAACTGGAGCTGCTCTGTCGCGTGACCATTTTCCTGTTCAAAGTTCACATGAAGCCCATATCGGCGGCCAAGACCATGAAGCCGTTGCTGGTCAAGCTGCTCTCCATGCTCAAGCGCGACGTCGGCCAGCTGAAGGATATATTGGGGTGGAATCTGCACGGCCTGGCTCTACTCCAAACCGAGGTGGAGCAGCGCGAGGGCGTCCAGCTCTTCCGGGAGGCAACGCAGGCGCGCAAGAAACGCGACAAAAAACGCAGGGAAGCCAGTAAGCGGCGACTGCAGATCCAAATGGTCTAAGATTAACATAATATATTTATACATTTGTATATTTGTATTTGTAAAAATGCAATTAAAGAAGGTTAGTTAGTTTATGATACAAGATAATTTTTAGATTTACTGGATCTATATATTTCTGTAAACGTACATTAATTTTTTAAGGAATACTGCGTCTCAATTCGTAAGCTCATCGATCACTAGAAGACTTTCAATTTTCTATAGATGACAATTCGGCGGCGGTAGGAATTCAAATGTAAAACTTAACGAAGAGTGCCGATCGCTAGACATTTAAAGACAACACACAAAAATCGTGGACTGGAAGATTTTGGACTAAACACGTAACATGGAACGAGGGATTCGCTTGCCATTTTGGGTGTATTGAGAGCTTAACAAATGCCTGCCTTCGGGAAACCATCGCCGCCGCCAGTTCCACAAGGACCTGTGTGTGATAATGAATTTGAATAATTTTCTGCAAAAAATAATTTTATAAATATGTTCACTTACCGCCACAACGTTGGAAGGCACCGGGTGGCCCATAGCTGAGCTTCTGAATTGTACACTTTTCAATCGGACCCGATGGCCGGCAGTAGGATGTGTATCTGGCCCAGGGCAGTGGCTCTTTGGGCGGTATGCAGTTGGGCAAATAGCTGAGCTTGTATGTGGTGCACTTCTCTATGGGTCCCTCGTTGCGGCAAAAGCCCTCGCGCGGCTTGACGGACTCGGCCCGCGGGAAGCAGGAGACATCTACCGGCATGTAAGACAGCTTGTTCACCGTGCATCGCTCCATGGCGCCGGTGGGTCGACAGAAGGCAGTGCGCGGCATGATCGGTGCCCGGCGCACATGCGGCTTGGGCACAAAGTCGTGCTTTTGGGTGGTCATTGCATACATGGGTCCATCGAACCGCAACCCGTTCTCCATCGGACGGATAGGTGGAGTTCGGTCTGTGCAGTTTGGCTGATAGGAGAGCTGAAAAACACCATTATTAAGTTAATTTTGTTCTGCTAATGAAGTAATAATTATATCTCCGAGTTACCTTTTGAATGGTGCACTTCTCCAGTGGACCAGTAGGCCGGCAGAAGGTATCTTTTGGCAGCACGGGCGCTGGCTTGGTCCGTGAGGCATCCACCGGCATGTAGCTTAGCTTGTAAACCGTGTTCGGAGTACCGTTATCGTTGCCGCAGAAGCGCAACGTTGTTAGGGGCATCACTGGAGCAGTGCGCCCTTCGTTGCAGTTGGGCATGTAGCTCAGGTTGTAGGTGGTGCACACATTCGAGTAACGCGGCGGTACACAACGGATCTTGTCAGCCCAGGGTGTGGGCTCCTTGGCCGGCAGACAGACCGGCATGTACGACAGCTTTTGGATGGTGCAGCGCTCCATGGGTCCCGAAGGCTTGCAATAGCTCGAGCCCTGGATCATGGCCTTGGGAGGCGGATTCTGGCACACATCAATGGGCATATAGCTGAGCTTCTGGATGGTGCAGCGCTCCATGGGGGCATTCGAGGTGCAGATGGCCACCCGCGGCACTATGGGATCCCGCTTGACTATTCCCTTTGGCACGTAGTCGTGCTTCTGCGAAGTCATCGCATAAATTGGACCCTCAAAGCGTAGGCCACTTTCCATGGGAACGATGGGAGGCGTCCGTTTCACCGGACACGGTGGCATATACGACAGCTTCTGGATGGTGCACTTCTCCAGCGGTGCTGTGGAGGCGCGAATCTGGGAGCACGGCATCACTGGACGGGCCCTGAAGTTATCGCCACAGTTGGCGTAAAATGAACGCCGGTAAATCGTGTCCGTATCCAGTGGCGCCGTGGAGCGCATAAAGTGCGACTTGGGCACAATGGGCAACGTGCGTGGCGGTTGCTGGTAGCAACAACCCGCATAGTCCCCACAATCGCAAGGCGGACACGTCGATCCCGGCGGGCATGGCGAGAAGTCGGTGGGAGCCTGGCAGGGATCGCCAGCGTTGGCGCAATCTCCCGACATGGCAATGGATTATAATATCGTACGGTAACTTACAATCGGAGGGCAAAGAGAACCGAACCCTGAATGGTTAGGGAACACAACGGAAATTGCGCAAAAGCCAAGGAAAAGAATTTTGGGTTTGCTCGGATGAGATCCGAGAACGAATACACTGAACTCAACACTTCCAAACACGACGAAAAGTAATTTGGCTTGGACAGACAATTGACGACGAAAGGTTTCCCGATGTGTTCTATATAGCTAGAGAATATCCAATGTATTCGGAACGTAGTCCTCCATCCACTGAATGAAGTAGAAAGCCCAGGCAACCCAGGTGAACTATATGGAACACATTATATATGTATATTTGTATATCATCTTCATTTATTTCCGGTTTACATTCTTCATTGCTAGGCGGATATCCTGATATTTTGATAAGTTTCGATAAGATGGTTCCTACGAGGACTTGTGGGTGGGCACAGGGAACAATCGAGAACTTTAACAAATAATTAAATACACAGAATAATCATCAAACGGGTTTGTATCATAAATTGGAATCTGTTAAATGTGCCTAACTAAGCGTGTCTAACTAAACTCGAATTAAATAATTAAACATTAATAGAAATCACGTAAAATATAACTTATTTACAATCGTTTTGCCTGCTTGTATATATATATATAAATTGAGGGCGTGGCGGAATACTTAAAGGATCAGCAAACAATATCGAAACTATATCGGGGTAAACACAAACAATTCCATTCGCGACTTCAACATAAAATCATTGAATTCAGTCCCGTATATAAGCGGATGTATGGGTATAGGAAGGGAGAAGGCATTCATTCCGACGATTAATTGCCGTTTAAAACATCTTTCGAGTGGCTTACAAATTAGTTAGATATTAGGTTAGTCTTAGACTATATATTCTCGTAATATTTTTTCGCACAGGATATAGCAAAAATACAATATTATATGTGTGGTGTATATACGATTCAGTTCGCTTGATATATCATCTCGCTTATCGACACTAATTATCGCTAATCGCTAAAGATCGCACACTGCGCAAGCGAAGGTGGGGGTCTTACAACGTGGGCAGATTGCTAGGCACCTGGTCGATGAAATTGGCCGGAAACTGGCCCTGACGGCCCGCCACCTCACCATACAGCCAGTCCTCGTTTATTCTATAAAGCACGGTAACCCTTTCATTTTCCTGTTTACAGAAAAATGTTTGATATAGTTTTTTTTTCCAAAGATTTGTACTAATGTAAAATATATTACCTGCAGGGCTAGATCTCCTTCGACACCGCCGGGAAAGTGGTACAAGCAAGTGGCTGTGGATGACGACGAGGCTGCAGCAGGAGCAGATGCAGCTGAAGCACCAGCAGTTCCACCACCACTAACAGTACCACTGGCACCCAATGGCACTTTTATTTCCACATAGTTGATTGGAAAGATACCCACGCAACCGGAACGCGTGCGTCCACGCATCCACTCCGCAGTAGGCTGATCCAACAAATATATCTTATCGTTTTCCTGCAAGCAAAAAACCAGGTTAGGTGGCACTAGCTTTCGCAGGCTTTAAAACTTACCCTGAAGCTAAGATCCCCCTCCTCAACGCCATCGAAGTCGTATAGAGCAATGGCGTAGGGAATGACCTCCTCCTCGATGTAGCCCTGGCATCCGTTGCTTAGCGCCATAGCATCTACTTTGCCTGCGATTACGTCCAGCATAGATATGCCACCGTTGGATGACGATGACGGTGGCGGCGGTGGTGGTCCCTTGGGCATGGGCGGGGATGGCGGAGTCTCCGATCCGCCGTAGCCCGATGGCAACGCATAGCCTGGTGGAATGCCTCCAACGAACGGCGGCGGCTTTGGTGCCTTTGGTTTCTGCGATATTTTCGGCTTGATGATGGTGGGCATGGTCAAGGACTGTGTCGGCGGCAGAAGGCTCTTGCCATTACACAGCGGATTGTCGGAGCTGCGGCTCTGCAGTTGGTATGTCTGGCGGACTGGGGCCGAACCGAAACTGTCCACAGTGCCGTGACCGGAACTATCTACCGCCTCCCAGGGATCCAAGGGGCTTTGTGTGGATGGCCGCGAGCGGTGATAATCATCCTCGAACCCGCTCTCCGGTTGCGAAACGCTTCCATTGTTTGGTGAACTGAAGTTGCTGTCGGAGCTGAAGCTATCCACGCTCACGCAGTCGCTGTTGGACTTCTGGGTGAAGGTTGGCGACGAGGGTGGCGAATCGAAGCTGATAAGCTGCCCCTCACTGACGCCCGCACTGATAGTCTGCTGGGAGGAGTAATGGGCGCTGCTGCTGTGGCTGCTCGCGGTGGTGGTGGTCGTGTTCCAGGCGTCATTCCAATCTACATTGCTGAACGCCGCACTGGCTGCCACTGAGGAGGCACTGGTGGTGGTGCTACTGCTAGATGTCCGGGCATTACCGCTGCTCAGGCCGTAGACGCGACTCTGCGCTGCGGCCTTAGAAGCAGCGGTGGGTGCCGTGGACATGGACTTCTTCCGATGAAAGATGTTCGAGATGAGACTGCTCCCGCCGCCGGCCGCCGCTGGCTGCGAGGTGGATGTGACCGTCTTCTGTCCATTGACCAGTACCCTCGGCGGCGGCGGTCGTGGCGGGGGCATCTTCTTGAACCGATCATTCCCGTTGGTCCCAAATGGATCGTCATCCCAGTTTGTGGCCGGCGTGTAGCGCGCCTGTGGAAACTTTCTCGTGATGCTTGATCCTCCCGTTCCCGTCTGCTCGTCGAACAGACTGCCGTTGTTATTATTGTGATTATGGGTAGGGCGCTTGTGGAGAGCGTTTTGCGTCTGCAGTGGTCCCTTTGGTGGCGGCGGCAGTTTGATGGTCAACTTCTGTAGTCCACCGCCGCCCGCCTGCTGTTGCTGCATGTGCTGTTGCTGGAGCTGGAGACGCAGCTGCTCCAGGCCGGCGTTAGCTCCAGCCGCGGCTGTCTGGCCACGAGAACCGGGCGGAGCTGGCGCTGGTCTCGATGGAATGGTCATGCTGCCTGTGGGTAAGAAATAACAAAAGCGAGTTAATTACCTTCGGGTGAAGCATGGGAGATTCTCTAATTAAACATGCAAAAATGGTTTTCTTATCGCAAAGCACTCGGCTCTGATAAGGCCACTCTCGTTCAGGGCTTGGAGTAGAACCTGCTGATGACTCACATCTGTGTCAAATATACTTTCGGCAACACTTTTCTACCCTAAATTTCAAAGACAAATGAATTTTGGAAACTTTAAAGAGTGTACTAAGTTTTTGTGTACCAATAATCATCACATTTAAGTGGAAGGCAGAAAGTTAAGATAAGATATACATATGTATGTTGTGTGGCAAACCAATAACAGAGATTGGCGAACAAGAAGCTCATTTAATTTCACTCGTGGAAAATTCTTAAAAAATAGCGTTTATAAACTCATTTTCAGTCACAGTTAAATCTCGAATCCTCATTCCATTTTTATCTATTATATGTTTATCTTTTAAGTAACAAAGGCTCAAGGTACTTTTACCTTATCAGTGGAACAACAAGAAAATATATTTACAATTCGCGATAAGATTTTCGCATAAACCACTGGAATTCAAGTGGAGAAATATACAGTAAAATAGCCTTAGGGCTCGTGCCAACTAATTTTATTGATAACTAAAAGGGGACTTTACGACAGGGCATAAAATGGTGACTCATATGAGGTAACTACTTATTAAAGCTCACTTATTAAAGCGATAATACGAACGAAGAGATTCCCAAATGTCAACACCTGCCCATAATGTTCGTAATCAGATAATACAATGGCCTGTAAAGCAAAATAATCAATCGACAGATCAGAATAATTCTCTTTTTATTGTTTTGTGTTTACGATGCAATTGGCGAACACAAAAACTAAATAAAATCAATTTTGTTTTCGTTGGGGGTTTCTCGAATCATTTACGTCACCTTCTCGTGAGGTGCTGCTCTTCCACCCACAAAGGCTCTTTTGCTAATTACGGCAGACGTTCTATTTCTGTTTTACTCTTCTTTTTTAAACGAAGCACACACCCCGCAAACTTGATTATGATGATAACAGGCAGAAACGACGTAGTTTCCAAATTAATGCCGGAACCACAAAACAAGTAGGTGGAATGTGGAGTGTGCACCACATTGACGACCAACTGGGTTGCAGCAGTTGCCCCAGTTGCCGGACAGTTGGTGCCCGGCACATGGCGGAACCGATCCCAGTTGAGCAACTGATGAAAAGAACTGCAAGCGGGAAATTCCCGACAGCGGAGCAGACGTATGTAGTTTCAGTGATAAGAGAGCAAAAGCCAGCGAGAATAACAAAATGGTTTGCGTATCAAATAAACAAAAAATAAAGAATTTTAAGTCGCAAAATATATAGTTGGGAGCACAGGGATTTGTGGGGAATCGGTTCAAACTGGTGTCATTCATTAGAATTGTGTTTGAATTAACATCATCATTCAGAGAATGAAGCGTTGATGAAGGGGGTGTACTATATATAATATTATCATATGGCGTCTGGTCTTGGATACTCAAATGCGTCACAGCCCGAATTCCCCAAAGGTCATTTTGCGGAAAAACAATATTGACTCTATGGAAAGATGGGTGGAGAAGCTCTCCGCCTCTTTTAATTTTCAAAATAAGCTAGCAGATGGCTGGCAGTGCTCTTCTTAAATGTTTACATACAAAAACCACAAACAAATACTTGAAACTACTTCCGTTTATTTGAAACAAGTTTCTAAGGGAATTACTTTAAATATTAATACTTAATTAAGCTTCAAAGAAACCTATTTAAATATTAATATATTAAAAATAATTCCATGTCAAAGAAATCCATTTCCTTTTGTAGAAAATTCTATACAATGGGAGAGCTTCAAAGAAGCTTTCTAAAATATTCTCATTCATTTATATTTTGGCAATTTTGTATAGGAACATCCCGCAACATCTTCTTCAAACAAAATAATTTAGCGTTTCGGATTTAAATTCGAATGAACTCAATGCGATTGATCAAATGAGCACAAACAATTGGATATTTAGCGGATCGTATTGTGCCTTTATTGTGAATCAGATATTTTAATGATAAATTTTGAATGCCAACTTTCAAAGGTTTCAGCTGGATCTATAAATAAATAATGTATGCATGCGAATTTATGTATGAAAGAGACCTCCTCTGCAAACGATAAATAAACAACAAATTTGTAAAAGTTTTTCAGTGTTTATTTTATCCATTATTGGGTAACTAGCTTACTGAATGAGTGCCGGTGACGCTAATCGCAGACACGTTTTCCACTGGTT